TCCTACGGACCTACTGCTCTGAAACCATGTCAGAATCTAGAGACAAGAATGAATGCATTGATCAAGAGTTGGGTACATAAGCTAACCCTAATTTGGTTGTACCCCATATGGGCTACCCCACTAGCAGCCTACACAAACACAATATGCATAGTTTGACAGAAGTGTCGCGATTGGTACGGTGCGGGGCGACTCGGAAGTAGTTCGGGGCGAAACTGTAGGCCGAGCTATACTAATGCGAAGTGCTCGGGTCGGGGCTGTCCTCGCTAAGGGCAGCTCTACACTAATGAATTGCGTATTGATTACATGGTTGGAGCAGATGGTTGTTACAACCACTGCGGTAGGTTACCGGTATTGACCTTTAAATGTCAAACTATTCATAATCATCCTATACTATATAACAATGACTATACAATACAGCACAATCAGAGCGTGCCCTATGTGTCCTATCAAGGTCAGCAGACATAAGTGAAGTCTGTCATCTCCTCAGTGCATCCTAACTCTGCTTCAGAGCAGCCGCCCCAACTAATCCTACAACAAACATCTCCTCAATCGTATCGTAGGCAGCGATCCATGCTGCTTTCACGTCACCACTCCACGTGTCACCCATGGCGCCAGCCATAGTAAGCACGAAGGCATCCCTCAGTTTCTGAAAATTAACATCAAAGAATAGACAGAGTATTAGAGGTCGGGTAAAATTGAAACCGGCAGCAGCAGTACAGCACGTGATGTGCAGTACTGCAGGAACCTGATTGCAAATATGAAATTGATTGGGTACATTACATACCGCAGCATGCTTGAGCTTGACTCCGTATCCAATGTGTCTCTGGCCTAGAGATGCAAGGCTCTTCCTGAACAGCTCCACCTGTTTCTCGTTGTCCAGGTTCGTGGCAATGTTGACCACCTGCACACACAATTGTCAGGGCAACATCAACAAACATGGCAACATCAACAAAAATCATGAACTGGAAACAGCTAGCCCATTTGACCACCTTGATAAACTGCACTTCCACTTTCAAGTGCGACAGCACTCCCACCTTCACTGAAACAGGCCTAGAACGAACACTTGCTTCCCCTTTCACTCACCTTCTTCAGAACAGTGGTGGCGTGTTCCTGAAGCGCCTTGTTGTCTCTCATAGGGCCCGTGTAGTCCTTGGTCATGGATATGAGGGCCTTCGCTTCCGGCACAATCTCAAACAAACTGCCAGTGAGGAGAGGATCATCATTTTGAATTGGTCAGTACCGAGATACAGCATACGAGGTCAGGACCAGACATGCACAGATCTGAGCAGGTTCAAAGCGGTGTGCGAATTGGAACAGCTGGTCAGCTACTACTGGAATCCAACAAACTCCAGAAGTCCTGGAGAGTTATGGAAAGGAGCTTACTTGATGAAGAGCGTCATGGCATGGTACGGCACATCTGGCTGCAGCTTCGCCTTGAAGCTGTCTTTGATCAGTTGCACTTGCTCCGAGGGGAGGACGAATTTAGTGGCAGGGCCGAGCGAACCCATGGTTAAGAGAGAGGAAGTGGCTCAGAAAGTAAATGGTTGGGAGAGTATCAGGCGACTTGGTGAGAAAGTAGCGGAATGAGGAATCTGGTCAGACTCAAGTGTGATGGTATGGCTGGGTTGAGCTAAGGCGATCTGGGGGAATACCGGTTTCTGTGAGAGAGAATGGAGACGCTGATCGTGTAGTGGGTCTTCGACACGAACTTGTAAGCGTTGAGTTGAGATGAATGTCGGTCGATGACGCCTCCATAAATACCTCGGAGTTTGGTGGTTCCGTGACCTTACGGATTCCTCAAGTGACGCTGCCGGATCCTCATCCGAACGCGCGTCGATAACTACGAGGTAGTAGTTGGTGGTGACATAGTAGCATTTTTGAGACCGAGAGGGGCCTTGCGATTTGAACCAAGAGTCACGACCGTGTGACATAAGAAAGGACGTTTCACCCCCTCGTAGTCTAAAGGGTCGCTTTGATGTCATTATCTTCATTACCAAAACGAGTCGCGAAGAGATTACCGGTAACGTGGACGGTCCGATCATAATCCGACGGGAAAGCTCTAGGTGAACAAGTTCCAGACGAGCCAGCAATTCAAAACAGCGACGAAACTCGAAACAGGCCCGGAGTGGCGACGATGCGTTGTCAGGCCAGCGCTTTGCTTGGGAGAGAAGGAACTTGGCCATTGTGACAGTTTCGCTGGAAGTTTCTCACGTAAATACCGAAGACGTTCTTTGCGCGCGTGGAAGGTCGCCAACACACAGCCACCAGCAGGAAATGATTTCGGTGGCCCAAGGGATGTACCCTGCTCCGACGTTGACACCCAAGCCCTAGGAGGCTGTGCATCGCGACTCCAATCCACAGCCCTCACGCGAAGGTCAGAGCAGAGGGGTGTGTGATGTGTCACAAAGACATAACTATTTGGAGCGGATCGCACTTGTTCCTGAAGGGCGCCACGCCATTCAGCCAGCATAGTTGTTCGACAAAGGCGGGGGCACCATCATCGAGGACTGCAACTGCTGGAGTCATTAGCTTCATAAAATTCGACCGTTTAGCATTCCACCGTAACACAACAGCTTTCAACTGTACAGTGCAAAGAGCGAAATCGACTCTTAACGAAAGCGTTCTGTACGCGGTCTTGTAACCTTTCGCAACTTGAGAAGGTAGGCGACACTTGAAAACTCTGTGGGGTATCGTCCTCTGGAGGCTCCGCGGGCCAGTGTCCTCACAGATCACGAAAGGTCATCTGTACAATTCATTACATGCCTCGGGAAGCCCATCAGTAACTTACAATCAAACTGTACACAAAATTCATTGCATGCATGAGGAAGCCCTTCAGCTACTGAAATGCACAATGGCTTATCTTCAAAGAATTAATCTAGCCGAAGTTATTATTTGGAGGTAATGTCATCTGTACACTTTATGACATTCCTCGAGACAGGATGCCCATAATCTATTGAAAGGCACAATAGCCTATCTCAACAGAATAGAATGCACCATCAAACTCAAACATTATTGACCTTGTGCTCTCAGTCGAAAACGGGTTTCTCTTGCAGCCCTTCTCTGTTGCTTCTCAACAGCATTCGATTTGGCAGATTTATTCATCATGGCCCGAGTGTGGGCCGCTTTTGCCTGTAAAAAAAACATCAAAAGAGTTTAATTTATGTTGAAATGCATGGTGCAGGTATGAGAATGGAGAGAGTACCAGGATGACACATAGTGACATGCCAGCATGGCACGGAAAATACAAAAGACAAAAAACCTAATCTGGAAAAGGGAGGCACGGTAAGAAAAATTGTGACACCTATTATGAAATAAAAGAGGCATGGTAAGAAACATTGTGACCATCAACCCAGACTAAGCCCATCAAACTCACCAGCAGCTGGTTCTTCCGCATGGTCGAGCTACCATATAGATTCACCTCCCCGCCCAACGAGAGTGGTAGGGCGGCACTTATGGACACGCCGGGCGGCAAAGGAAGAGGATTGGAAGAGGGGGAGGAGGAGGAAGTCATGGCAAGAGGAGGTTGTATTTGGGAGAGAGAGAAGGCAATGTCGGTTGGAGAGAAGACCATGCTGGTACAGTCTGACGATGGGATGGGGGCGATTAGGGGAGGGTCATTCCTTGTGTGAGAAAACAGCAGGAGGTATGGAGGGAAAGGCGTGGAAAGGAAAGGTAGGAGGGGAAGGCGTGAAAGGGAAAGGTAGGACGGGAAAGGTGAGAGGGGGAGTGAAGAAATTTGCAAGCAAGAACGGTGTTTTAAGGTACATGTTTGGAAGTGGCAACTCATGATGAAATTTTTCTACAGTCTTGTGCTCCATCCCCTGCCACGTGGCATTCTCAACCTGCTGCCATGTGGCATCACTTACCTCTTTCCATGTGCCACCACATACCTCCTGCCATGTGCAGCGCTCGCATGGCCTCCATGAGATCATGCACGCCACACCGCCCACGAAATGCATCCAATTGACCACCAGCAGCAGCACCAGCACCGACACCACCAGCACCAGCAGCACCAGCAGCAGCAGCAGCACTGCTGGCTGCAATCCTGTCACTGCTGCCACCACTGCTAGCTGTGTTCTTGCCGCTGCCACTCTCATCAGCAGTACTGCTGGCACTGCTAGCTTCCACTGCAACAAGCTTCCCAATCACGCGCCGCCCACTCACTCCTCTCCCCCCATCCCCACTCACTCCTCTCCACCCATCCCCACTCCCAACAGCCTCCTCTCCCTCCTCACCTGCACCAGCCATACCCTTCCTACCGGCCTTCCCTTTCAGTCCTCCCTTCTGTCCTAACCACTCACCTCCCCTGCCTATTCCCCCTGCCCCTCTCTTCCCTTCCTCCTCTGCCTCCTCCTCGTCCCCTTCCCCTGCCACAACAGCAGCAGCAGCAGCAGCAGTGGCAGCGGCAGCAGCATCAGCATCAAAATCCACATCTTTCGGAAACACATCCTCTGCAAGTCTATTTCCTGAAAACACTGACCCTTGCGTCAGATTTTCTTTACCCCCAGCTCCTTCCAGCCGCTTCCCCACCTTCTCCCTCTTCTGCCTGTTCTCTCCTTTTCCCCCTTCCCCTCCCTCTTCTCCATCCTCCCTCTTCTCCTCCTCGTCCCTCCAGGGCCCGAAGTGAGAGTGAGAAACGGTGGGCTCCTCTTCTCCTTCTCCACTCCCCCCCTCCTCATTGCCCATCAGCCCTCGCGGAGCTGAGCTGGCGGCCTCTGATTGGCTCTTGAGATTCGCTGCAACAGCTGAGGGGTGTGCATCTGCCAGTATCTCCATCTTGAGGGTGGGGAAGCGAGCAATGGAGCCTGAGAAGGAGGGAAGGGAGGGAGCAGGAGAGTTAAGAAACTTGATTGGGAAGTGATCAGAAGCAACATTACTGACTCATCTGCTACTATCCACATCTTGAGGGTGCGGAAGCGAGCAGTGGAGCCTGGGAGGGGGAGGGGAGGAGCAGGAAGAAACGTGACTGGGTAGCATTTCCAGAATGTTTTTCAGCTAACTCATCTGCTACTATCCACATCTTGAGGGTGGGGAAGCGAGCAGTGGAGCCTGGGGAGGAGGGAGCGAGAAGACGGAACTGTGATAGAGAGGAGATGAAAAGCAGAGATGGCGATGAAAAGCAGAGATGGCGATGAAAAGCAGAGATGGCGATGAAAAGCAGAGATGGCGATGAAAAGCAGAGATGGCGATGAAAAGCAGAGATGGCGATGAAAAGCAGAGATGGCGATGAAAAGCAGAGATGGCGATGAAAAGCAGAGATGGCGATGAAAAGCAGAGATGGCGATGAAAAGCAGAGATGGCGATGAAAAGCAGAGATGGCGATGAAAAGCAGAGATGGCGATGAAAAGCAGAGATGGCGATGAAAAGCAGAGATGGCGATGAAAAGCAGAGATGGCGATGAAAAGCAGAGATGGCGATGAAAAGCAGAGATGGCGATGAAAAGCAGAGATGGCGATGAAAAGCAGAGATGGCGATGAAAAGCAGAGATGGCGATGAAAAGCAGAGATGGCGATGAAAAGCAGAGATGGCGATGAAAAGCAGAGATGGCGATGAAAAGCAGAGATGGCGATGAAAAGCAGAGATGGCGATGAAAAGCAGAGATGGCGATGAAAAGCAGAGATGGCGATGAAAAGCAGAGATGGCGATGAAAAGCAGAGATGGCGATGAAAAGCAGAGATGGCGATGAAAAGCAGAGATGGCGATGAAAAGCAGAGATGGCGATGAAAAGCAGAGATGGCGATGAAAAGCAGAGATGGCGATGAAAAGCAGAGATGGCGATGAAAAGCAGAGATGGCGATGAAAAGCAGAGATGGCGATGAAAAGCAGAGATGGCGATGAAAAGCAGAGATGGCGATGAAAAGCAGAGATGGCGATGAAAAGCAGAGATGGCGATGAAAAGCAGAGATGGCGATGAAAAGCAGAGATGGCGATGAAAAGCAGAGATGGCGATGAAAAGCAGAGATGGCGATGAAAAGCAGAGATGGCGATGAAAAGCAGAGATGGCGATGAAAAGCAGAGATGGCGATGAAAAGCAGAGATGGCGATGAAAAGCAGAGATGGCGATGAAAAGCAGAGATGGCGATGAAAAGCAGAGATGGCGATGAAAAGCAGAGATGGCGATGAAAAGCAGAGATGGCGATGAAAAGCAGAGATGGCGATGAAAAGCAGAGATGGCGATGAAAAGCAGAGATGGCGATGAAAAGCAGAGATGGCGATGAAAAGCAGAGATGGCGATGAAAAGCAGAGATGGCGATGAAAAGCAGAGATGGCGATGAAAAGCAGAGATGGCGATGAAAAGCAGAGATGGCGATGAAAAGCAGAGATGGCGATGAAAAGCAGAGATGGCGATGAAAAGCAGAGATGGCGATGAAAAGCAGAGATGGCGATGAAAAGCAGAGATGGAGAACGGGGAACTGAGAGATGGAGTTGGGGAAAGGGGGCGGAAAAAGACAAGGAGAGGGGGTAGCGGGTAGGGGAGGGGGGAGGGAAGGGGGACGGAGGTGAAGGGGATTCATGTGCCAGTGTCAGTTGTAGAATGAAAAAAATATTAATCTTCCTGGTTTCTTTTTTTGCTTGCTTTTACATTTTTTTTTTTTGCAGAACCAATTTGGTTTCCTCACCTTCTAAAAGCAGACAATGCACACCCAAATGCTGGAATCCACCTGAACCTGGAAAATCACCTGAGGCTGACAGCTGAACCCAGAGGGTCTGGAAGAGCCAGTACTCGACAACTGAGAAGCCCTGCTCGAAATCCTGGGAGTTGTATTGGGAAAGGGGTGAGAGGGGAGAAAGGGTGGTGTGGGTGGGAGGGGAGGAGAAGGGAGCCGGGGAGAGTGCAGAGTGTGACAAGAGGAGAGTTGGCGTGTTTGCAATGCAGAGAATGAGAGAATGTTGGTGTGTGCTCGCTAAACGTTATGGGGAGGAAGGAAGCTTAAGGACAAAATGCGGGGAGAGGAGGGGAGGGGAGGGGAGGGGAGGGGAGGGGAGGGGAGGGGAGGGGAGGGGAGGGGAGGGGAGGGGAGGGGAGGGGAGGGGAGGGGAGGGGAGGGGAGGGGAGGGGAGGTGATGGGAGGGGAGGAGGGGGGAGGAGAGGGGAGGGAGGGGGGAGGGGACGAGAGGGGAGGGGACGGCTTAGTGGTTGGAGGAGATGAGAGATGGAAAGGATGGAAAACATGCGGTGCTGAGTGGTATGGCATGGTCAGATGTGGTGGTTGACCATGTGCTGTGCCACGTGCCCCACACCGCACGTGCCCCACACCGCACGTGCCCCACACCGCACGTGCCCCACACCGCACGTGCACGCACCACAATCTTCACACATGCAGGAGCGTCCACATCCATGCTGCTCTGCCCCTGCCCTTCCTCCCCCTCCGCCCTTTCCTCCTCCACCTCCTCATCAACATCACCAGCAGCACCATGGCCACCATCAGCAGCAGTGGCCCCCAGATTCTCCCGCGCCACGCGTCGGCCATCGCTGGTCTCCACTCTCACTCGCAGCCGGTGGCGAAACTGCTGCTGCTCTGCCTGCTCTGCCTCCCAGTTCGTGAGCTTGCGCGGCAGCACTGCCATGCCGTCCTTGTCCTGGTAACAGGGGAGGAGAGGAGGGTTGAGAGAATCAGAAAGCCCGCCACTCATCTGCAGATTCTGCTCCGCTCCACCAGCTCCACCAGGAGCAGCTCTGCCTCCCAGCTCCACCAGGAGGAGCTCTGCCTCCCAGCTCCACCAGGAGCAGCTCTGCTATTTCTCCAACCTAGAAAGGCATCAACATGCACCTGAATGCATGAACGCGCAACTGACCAAATCTGGAAAAACACCTTGGCGAACCTCACCTGAAAGGGCACCTGGCCTCACCTGAAAGGGCACCTGGCCTCACCTGAAAGGGCACCTGGCCTTGCACATCAAGGCGAGGCACGAAGAGCGTCAGATAGCCATCGTGAATGGACACCACCTGAGTGGGTGTGGGGGGTGAAAGATGCAGCAAGGGGGGGGGGAGAAACAAGAGAGCAGGCCGGGGGGGAGGGTGGGGAGGAGGTGGGGTGGGCAGAGTGGGGTGAGAGAGGTGGTGGAGATGTGGGAAACGCGGGAACATTGTATGGTAGTAGTACAAAGAGTTGGGGACAGCAGCAAACGACAGCAAGCTCATTGGAATACCCATCGCTTCAACCCGCCACCCCTTGCTCTCCACACTTACCCCACCCCGCTCCCCACACGGCTGTTCCCCTCCCCCCTCCCTCAGCAGCAGCAGCAGCAGCAAACAAGCTAAAGCACATCCCTTCCTCTTCCCTGCACCCCTCCAATCCTCATTTCCACTCCACTAGCACCCATTCCATGCTCCTGCCCCCCCTCCTCTCCCCCCCCTCTCCCACCCCTGCTCACCACTGCACGCTCCACCAAGGGCTGCTCCCGCAGCAGCAGCAGCAGGCAGAGCTCGGCGCTTCTCTTTGATGCCAGCTTCGCCAGCCGGTGCTGCTTGTTCAGATGGGCCGCTAGCTGTGGGGGGGGGGGGGCGGGATGGACAGGAAGGGAGGTATGGGGACGGAGAGACGGCTCAGACAGTGCTGCATGTTTAGGTGATCCGCTAGCTGGGGGGGGGAGGGGAAGGGGTCCTCCCCGCCTATTTCTTAGGCGCCTAAAAAATACTCCACAGGCAGCACTGTTGCGGGCGGGCGCGTGCGTGTGTGTGTGTGTGTGTGTGCGTGTGTGTGTGTGTGTGTGCGTGTGCGTGTGCGTGTGTGTGTGTGTGTGTGTGTGCGTGTGTGCGTGTGTGTGTGAATATGCGTGTGCGTGTGTGCGTGTGTGTGTGCGTATGCGTGTGCGTGCGTGTGCGCGTGCGTGTACGTGTGCGTGTGTGTGTCTGTGTGTTTCCAAGCCGAGCCGGCGGCCATTGTCATGAGCCTTACCTTGTCCCAGTCCACTCCTCGTGACTCTCTCTCCACCGTCTCCTCCTCCCTCTCCTCCCCATCCACCCCCACATTGCTGTGCTCAGCTCTGCCCTCCCTCCCCTCCACTGCATCCCCCTCCCTCTCCCCCACCCCCTCCCCCACCCCCTCCCCCACCCCCTCCTCCTCCCTCACTCCCTCCCCTCCCCACGCTCTGGCTGCAGCACCCCACGCCTTCCTCCTTCCCTTCCTCCTCCACCCGACCGCCCTTCCCCTCCTGTTCTCTCCTCCCCTGCTCCGCCCTGCCCGCTCCCTCGATCCCCTTTTGGCTCCTCACTCGTTCCCCCCTTCCCGTCCACCCCTTCGGCAGTGCCTCTCCCTCCCTGCTTCCCACCCGCGTCCCCGCGATCCCGGTTCTCTTGCTGCAGTGCTGCCAGCAGCTGCCGGTGCACGAGCAGGTCAGCATAGCGGCGAATGGGCGAGGTGAAGTGGGAGTAGAGGCTGGAAGATGGGAGGGAAGGAGGGGAGAGGGGAAGGACAGTAAGGGAAGGAGGGGAACGGAGAGGGAAGCAGGAAGGAGTGTTGAATCAACTCAGTGCTGCCAGCAGCTGCCGGTGCACCAACAGATCAGCATAGCGGCGAATGGGCGAGGTGAAGTGGGAGTAGAGGCTGGAGTAGGCTTGAGCAACGAACCGAACAGGTATTTGTTTTGTCAAAAAATGTTCGTGCGAACATGTTCGGTGTTCGCCTACGTCAGCTGGCCGAGCCGCGTCAAACACGAACGCGCTCGTGTTCGACACGGGGCTTCGACGAACACATGTGTTCGTCGACGAATTGACCCGCGGCCAATTTTTAGGTCGCGGAACTTTGTGTTAAAGCTCATTATTTGAGCTTTTTTTTTAGCTCAAACAGTTCGCGACCTTAGCGCCAGCCCCCTAAAGCCCACTGTCGCCCTTACCTATGAGTAATAGGAGCATCAATGCTCCACAATAGAAAAATTTCTGACATTCCGCCGTCATATATGCGCGGATATGGCATTTCGCCGTTCGATCTGGACGGATCTGACATTTCGCCGTCCAATCTGCGCGGATCTGACATTTCGCCATCAGATATGCGCGGATCTGACATTCCGCCGTCATGTATGCGTGGATAAGACATTTCGCCGTCAGATGTGCGCTGATCTGGCATTTCGCCATCAAATCAGATGGCAGGAAGGGAGGAAGCCAGAGGCGAACACGAACATGTTTGCGTTCGCCCGTGCACGAACACTGCCGTTCGGCGAAATGCCAGATCCGCGCACATGTGACGGCAAAATGCCATATCTGCGCATATATGACGGCAAAATGTCAGATCCGCGCATATCTGACGACGAAATGTCAGATCCGCGCAGATCGGACGACGAAATGCCATATTCGCGCATATATGACGACGGAATGTCAGAAAATGTTATATGATGGAGCATTGATGCTCCTATTACTCCTAGATAAGGGGGTTAGTGGGCTTAGGGGGCTGGCGCTAAGGTCGTGAACTGTTTGAGCTCAAAAATGAGCTCAAACACAAAGACCCGTGACCTAAAAATTGGTCGCGGGTCAATTCGTCGACGAACACAAATGTGCTCGACGCTGCTCGACCAACTGACGTAGGCGAACACCGAACGTGTTCGCGCGAACATCGAACACGTTCGAAGCGAACATTTTTTGGCAAAGTTCGAGGCGAACCGAAAAGGTGTTCGGTTCATTGCTCAGCCTAACACTGAGTGAGCTCGAACAAGAAGGATGCTTGTGCAGGTTTGGACTGGCCGTTTCGAAAGCATGAGTGACAAGAGTGAGAAGTATGGTATGGCATGCGACTCACTCCACAGCCAGGCCGTAGTGATACGCCCCGATGCCATCCGCTGCTGCTGCTGATGCTGGCAGATACTCCGCCTGATGTGACGCGCATGTGGATGGCATGTGTATTGCACGGGGATGGCATGTGCATCGCATGGGGATGTCATGGGAATGGCATGTACATCGCATGGGGATGTGCATGCATTCAGGGCAATGGAAATGGTCACATGCACATGCAGGGAGAGTGAGAAACACACAAAAGCTCAGATCCATATGTGTCTAAGACATGTGGGATTGCATGCACCAAATCTGGAGGGAAAGGGGGGATGAATTCGCAACAGCTCACATGCTGTAGGTGGTGAGAGATAAGAGAAGACCAAATCACCCATGTGCAGGGTTGCAAGTTTGAAAGATGCAAGCATGCACACAAAAATGAAGGTGCGTGCTGCATGCGAATGCCACGTCTCTCATTCCCACTGTGCCGCCACATCTCATTTGCGTCTCCCATTTTTCCCTCTCACCTCTCCATGACTCAACTGCGTGCCTCACTTATAAAGTAGATGGCACACGTACAGAGGTCAGAGCATTGAGCTCATACCGCAGCAACATTCGCATCATTCTGATCTGAACTAGACTCTACACGTGTTTACCACTGGGAGTGCACGCGTGCAGAGGGGGAGAGTGACTTAAGCCCATACCGCAGCAACATTCACATTATTTTAAAATTGACTCTAAGAGTGTCTCACCTCTGAGAGTGCACGCGTGCTGAGTGCCTTGAGCCCATACTGCAGCAGCAGAGCAGCAGGCACATGAGATGATGACGGGGAAGTGACAGGCAGATGTGCGGGTAGCATGTGCAACAAGGGTGAAGCAGTTGTGAGGCATGGCAGCAGCAGGGGATCGGGAAACACAAGGGCGAAGGAGGAAACATCAATTAAACATCAAGTCAGGGAGATATTTTCTAAAAAAGTCCAGACATACAGAAAAGGAACCTTGTAATATAGAGAGGATGTGGAGGGGGGAGGGAACATGAAGTTTAAGTTTTCATTTGTAAGAGTGAGAAAAATCTCTAGTACGACGCATCCACTTCAGAATAAACCCAAAACGGAAGTAGGTTCAAGAAGCAACTTTTGAGTCGACTCAGATGGTGGATGGGGAGGTGAGGGAGGGGAGGGGAGGGGAGGTGAGGTGAGGGGAGGGAAGGTGAGGAGAGGTGAGGTGAGAAAAGGTGAGGTGAGGTGAGGGGGAGCTCACATCCAGGACGGGGTCTCCCAGGTGCTTCACTGCTGCCAGCGATGCTGCTAGAGTCTGTTGGGAAGGAGACGGGGAGTGAAGATTACGGTTTAGTTTAGTGTTAGAACACAGGGAGGGCGAGCACGGATGGGAGGAAAAAGGAGGGGAGAGAGGAGAGGGGAGGGGAGGGGAGGGGAGGGGAGGGGAGGGGAGGGGAGGGGAGGGGAGGGGAGGGGAGGGGAGGGGAGGGGAGGGGAGGGGAGGGGAGGGGAGGGGAGGGGAGGGGAGGGGAGGAGAGAGAAGGGGTGGGGAGGGGAGGGGAGGGGAGGGGAGGGGAGGGGAGGGGAGGGGAGGGGAGGGGAGGGGAGGGGAGCGGAGGGGAGCGGAGGGAAGGGGAGGGTAGAGAAAGGGAGGGGAGGGGAGGGGAAGGGAGAGGAGGAGAGGAGGGGAGGGGAGAATGGAGGAAGGAGAGTAGAGCAGTGAAGGGAAGGGGAGGCAAGCAGCAAAGAGGCATGCAAAGAATGATGAAGGGAACACTCCAAACTACTATGATTGCTCGCATGACTCCTTGAAAGAAACGATCTTCACTCATGGCGGAGGAGCTGCAATTCTGAGGATTGGAAAACGATTAAAGCAACAGGATCGAAACTTAGAAAAATCTTCCTGGAAAATTGCTCAGTAGAACTTGTAAAACCCTTCCACTAAAGCAGAACCTTACAGCACAAACCAGTTTCGGCTCACGGGGATCATACCCGCTCAGCCTTCATCAGTGTAGCTCGGATCCACAAAAGAAAAGGTTCGGACAGACGCAGGCTAAGTAGCTAGCACATGCCCTCGAGATCTACAGCAAAACAAACAACTACCCAGAGTGACAAATCACTCGGCCAGCTAAGCAATTGGGGTACACCCAGGGTGCAATGTCAGCCCTCGGGGAAATCTTCGTCAACCTGTTCGTTGATGTAACCGCGCGCGCACCAGTAACTTTTGCAAGTTACACGCACACTTCCAAGCTGTAATAATTCTCTCCGTATGAAATCCGCGTGCATTGAGGTCGTTTTTGAGGCGCCTCAAAAACAACCTCAATCCAAACTACTATGATTGCTCGCATGACTCCTTGAAAGAAACGATTGCAGCCTGTTGTTCGATGAAACAGTGCAAGATTCAAGAGACGTGCCAACCACAGTTGCTCTGTGGATGAACCATGGGTGCCAACCACAGTTGCTCCATGCACCATGGATGCATGCTTTGAGTCGACTCAAAACTAGATTGCTATCTATCACGCGGATTTTGAGATGTCTTGAAACAGTTGTTCCATGTGCCCTGGATAAATGCTGAGTGCTGACCTTGTTTGTGGACGTTTCAAGCGCGATGCCTCGCACCGCACAGCACTGACAGGAGGGCACACAGAGACAGGAGGGCACACAGAGACAGGAGGGCACACAGAGACAGGAGGGCACACAGCGACAGGAGGGCACACAGCGACAGGAATCAAAGAGGTGAAAGACAGACAGGGCGTTGATGCACTGGAAAGGAACCCACTCTAGAGTTTGCAGAAATCTATGGAAAGAAAAAACTACAAACTTTGATGTGTGTAAGCAGGTGACATGACATGCATGGCATGGTGCTGCCACCACCAGGCCATATCATCCACATACATGGCGCAGCCCTCAGCCCTTTGTTCACCCCACCCACCATCATCCACATGCATCACACGGCACGCACACCTGCTTGCTTGACCCCACCCACCACTAGCATCCTCACATGCATGAGATGGCACCCTTAGCTCTCATGCACACTACAGTCACCCCACCATCATCCACATGCATCACACAGCACGCACACCTGCTTGACCCCACCACCCTCACATGCACGACACATCCCTCACAGCCCTCACATCCCTCAAACCACCACCACCGCCCTCAGATGCATGAGATGGCACCCACAGCTCTCATGCACACCTCATTCACCCCACCCACCACCACCACCCTCACATGCATGAGATGGCGGAAGCCGTTTGGGCGAGGAGGAGCATGGCGGCGCAGAAAGGCGGTTGATGGGAAGGTTCTGGCTCCAGCGAACCATGATGGGGGTGGGAAGAGGAGAAGGAGTGAAAGTGCACCCTAGTATGGAATGGAACGGATCATATGACATGGCAGTTAACACAAAACACAGTGCACAACATTGCGTTGCGAGAGCTTAAAACAGTGAAAGAGGGATCGCGGAAGACAGCTGTCGTGTGCATGTGCGTCTTGCCATGGTGTGTGTGTGTGTGTGTGTGTGTGTGTGTGCGAGTTGGGGATCTCACCTTGTGAGCTTGCGGGCGACAGCAGCATTGGCCAGCACCATGAGCTCTGCCACTACTGCGTTCATCTGATGGTGGGCACAGGGGGGAGGGCGAAGGAGAGAAAGGCTGCAGGGAAGTTGAGGTAGGGGATTGGGCGACGGCAGCATTGGCCAGGCCCGCACCATGAGCTGAGTCACCACTGCGTTCATCTGATGGTCGGCATAGGCGGCAAAAGGGGAGGTGTGGGTCTCCAGGGATGGCAAAAGGGGTGTGTGCGTGGTAAAAAGATTGGAAGGGAGGGAGGGCGTGGGGCAAGGCACTGGCAGGCCGAGCATGCAGTGTGAGCATAGTTCCCCGTGTAAAGAGTGAATTTTTGAGACGTCTCAAAAATTCACTCTTTACACGTGTCATCATGAGCCATTTGAGGTGACTTTCGTGTCGACTCAACAGGCACTGGTGGGCTGAGCATGCAGCATGAGCATGGTTCCCCTTTCACCACAACCCATTCGCACTCACCAGGATCTCCTGCTTGCCGAACCTTGGCTCAAGGGGATGCTTTCTGGACACCCTTAAACTCAAACCTTCTTTCCCCACCAGTCCTCATCTCATCGGGGAAAACCTTCCTCTTCATAAGCCCCCCTCACTCACCGGGATCTCCTGCTTGCACAACACTCTTCTGGGCCCCTCTGCTTTCCTCAAACTGGTGATGGCATTTGAGTGACTCTAAAAAACCTTCTCACCACGAGCTCCCCCTCACCCACCGGGATCTCCTGCTTGCAGAACACCCGTTTGGGCGTCCCTCGGCTTTCATCAAACTCAAACCGCAGCTCCGCACTCGCCAGCTCCAATGCTCCCGCCCTCTGCCTCTGCCGCCGCAGCTCCTGGGATCACCAATGAGAGGGGAGGAAAGAAGAGGGAGCCAGGTGAGGAGGGAACAGAGCTCTGCTTTGCACTTGCCACCTCCTGCACTCCCGCCAGCTGCCCCTGCCGCCGCAGCTCCTGCGTCTGAGTAAGACCGGTAATGAAAGCGGGAAGGCAAGCGAGCCAAATGATGGGAGCAGGGAGGAAAGCAGGCGAATAATGTGGGGAACGAACGCAAGTGCGGGGGGAGGGAGGCAAGTGCGGGGGGGAAGAAACAAACGCAGCTCCGAACTCGCCAGCTCCCTCCAGTGCAGCTGCCGGATGCCTCTGCCGCTGTAGCATCTGTGACAGTGTGACTGTGGTGGACAGGCAACTGGAGTCTGGAGGAGATGCACTTGTTTCTCAAGGCACTGGAGGAAAGTCACCCAGCGTATCACCATTCACCTCTCTCATTCCGCATGCCAGTTGGACCTTGCATTTGCCTCTCAACAGCCGTGGAGTGCCACGAGCTAACCAGGACTAACAACGCCCTGAGGGCTAGCCTGAAGATGCAGGAGCAAGAAGTGATGGAGCCCAGAGAAAAGATTCTTACAGAGGAGAGGAGGAGGTGAGCGACAGAACGGGCAACAGAAGCGGTGAAAATAGAGCTTCGAGAAGCGGGTGCCGCAGCTACGGCCCTGGCTTGAGAGAAGGTTGCGTTGGAAGAGAAGCTTCAGGAGATGCAGGGTCAGGAGGTTCGGGATGAGAAAGAGAGGAAGGAGCTCTCCCAACCCCCTCACCCCGCTCCTTTTCTCTTAAGGTCCCTCTCCTTCTTCCCACTCCGCTCCTCCAGACTCTGCATCTCCCGAAGCTGCTCTTCCAACGCAGCCTTCTCCCGAGCCAGGGCTGCAGCTGCAGCACCCGTTTCCCCAAGCTCTATTTTCATAGCTTCTGCCATCCGTTCTGCCTCACACCTCCTCCCCTCCTCTATAAGCATCCTTCCTCTAGGCTCCATCACTTCCTCTTCCTGCAGCTTCAGCCTAGCCATGAGGACGTTCTTAGCCCTCTCAACCTTGCTTCTCAACCCAGCCACCTAACCTGCGTCACACGCCCCCATGACAATAGGTTTTAGTACTGACCCGAGCAAAAGCCGTGAGAGTGGCGATGCACGTCTTGGCCCGCGCCTCCTCCCTCGGCCCGCCCGGCAGTTGGTGTTCCACTGGCAACGGATGCACTCCGTCTGCTATGGCTTGTGCCTGCGCGTACGAGAGCTGTGATGGGAGGGGTGGAAAGAGGGAGAGTGGAAGAGGAGGGTTGAGTGGGTAAGTGTATATGCCCCCTCTTTCCCTCGGCTCATCTGCCAGACGATGCTCCTCCAGCAGTTGATGCGCTCCGCCTGCTATGGCGTGTGCTGGGCATACCAGAGCAGTGGGGGGGAAAGGGAGGGGTGAGAGGGAGGACGGAAAAAGGAGGAGGAGCAGGAGTGGAGAGACCTGTGTGCCACCTCTCTTGGCCTGCCTGCCAGGCGTTGTTGCTTCTAAAACAGTGTACAAGAGATCTGCAGATGGGAAGGGTGAGATGTGTGCGGGGACCATAGGGACGGGAGGGGGGGAGTTCAAGACAAGCAAGCAGATACCAATGAGAACATGTGAAGATCATGGCAAAACGGAAAGAAGAAACAAAGGTCCATTCACGAGTGGAGAGTCACGAGCATGGACCGCCGACAAAGAAGCACATAGGTGATTATTTCCATCACTGCATTTCCATTCCACAGCACCGGTCACCTGGTGGTTGGATCGGATGACGGTTCGGCCGAACCAGGGCGGCCCCACGAGTGCGAAGCGGTGGGAGGGGTCGAGCGTCCAGATGACACTCACTGCCAGGCGCGTGCGCCCGCCTAATAGGGAACAGAGACCCTCGCTGCAGTGAGGAGAGAGGAGAGGAGTGGAGTGGAGTGGAGGGCAAGGAAAAGGAGGTGGATGGCAAGAGAAAGAAGTTTCATTGAGAAGTTGATAGTACAACGAAACTGGGTTGGCTGGTTGGGGTGAAACCCCAACTGAACTTAGGGCATGTTCAGTCTAGGAAACAAAAGCTAAAACGAACCTAAACTGAATCTGAAATGAAACCAAGGCTAAAACTGGCCAAAAAATAATGCAAGGCCAGAATAAAGTATAGAGAAGAAAATAGCTGACTCCAACATGGTGGTGGAAAAGGGGCGAGGGAAGAAAATGCAGATTGAAATTATGATGCCACATGGTTACCTCAAGGCCTCTGGCAGCATGTTGCTGCGCTGGTTAGCCAGGTACACGGACGTGCCCCTTCTTCGCTTCTGCATCCCACAACACACTAAGTATGCATTAAGTCCACCCCTCTCTTGCTCACCTGAGCGCCTCTGGCAGCATGTTGCTGCGCTGGTTGGCGAGATACACAGATGTGCCCCGCGCCCTCGCCTCTGCATCCAACAGACTGCCCGGCCGCACGAAGAACGCCACGTCCGCTATGTGAACCCCCACCTGCGGGTGTTGGTGTGGGCAGGTCATGGGATGGGAGTGGAGGTGACTTGTGAGCTGAGTCACAACAAGTCGGCCCGGCCGCACAAAGGACGCCACGTCTGCTAATGTATAAGGTACACCCCCACCTGGGAGTGGCAATGTGCAGTTGAGAAACGCTTAGGTTCGACCCCCTGCATGCCTTCCAAGAGTGGACCTGATCATCAATCAGGAAACGAGAAAGATTGTAAAGAAGGCCATTAAGTGTCACGCGCGAACACGTTTTGGCCATTGACGGTTTTCACACACCAGAAAGGATGGGAAGGATAGAAAGGACGGATGTCCACACGTCCACACCAGAATCGTACTTTAGTACAATGTGCGGTGGGGTGGTGGATTGGGCGCTGGTGAATAAACGCCTGAGACAAATAAATGCAGAAAAAACTGTCCGAACCTCGGGTGGTGATTGTACCCCACAAGAAGCAAGAGTTGACCAGTGTATAAAACGACCTGGGATAGACCCGCCTGAAAATAACACCTGGAGTAGACCAACCTGAAGAAATACCTGAACTTGAAGCAAAAGGCGCAGCGCATGGGGCATAGACCCACCTGAATGAGGCCATTGGGGAGGTGAGCGGTGGAGAGCACATCATCCACGTCCCTGCTTCCAGGGGGATCGATGCTGGTGGGGGGAGAGAGGACGAGGAGGGGAAAGGGGGAAAAAAGAGGGGGAGGGTGGGGGAAAGGGGTGAGGGGAAAGGGGGAGGGGGGGAGGGGGTAAGGGTAAGAGAATGGGGAGAGGAGGCCATGCAGAGCACCTCATCCGCACCCCTGGGGGGTCGGTGCTGAGGGTGGGGAAGGGGGGAGAGGGGAGGACAAGAGAGTAGAGGTGGCGGAGGGACATAGGAGGGGGGAGGAGGTGAGCCGTGGAAGCACATTATCCACATCCAGGGGGGTTGATGCTAAGGAAGAGGGAAGTGGGAAGGGGGGGAGGTAGAGAGAGAGAGGAGGAGGAGGGGCAAAAATGCAGAGAGAGGGTACTTGCAAAAGTTGGGGAAGATTGGGGAAGGGGAGGGAGGAGGAGGGAAGAGAGAACAAAAGAACACGAACATGACTCCACTCGCCCCTCGCCCCCTCACCCCTCACCTGCACATGAAGTGCGCCCCATCACGCAGGTCCCTGCGCCGGGCAATCTCCTCCTCAGGCACCCGCCACTCCCCCTCCCCACCCTCTGCTGCCGCCCGTCGCGCTGATTGGGGGATCTCCTGCAGAGCGCTGGTAAGACAGGCAGAAGGCAGAAGGGTGTTGCCTCAGGGACGATGGAGGGAAAAGGAAACAGGGTGTGGGTGGAAATCGGCATGTGGATTGGAGCCACAGAGGTGGTGCTGGGGTGTGTTGGTGGGAGGGAGGATGTCCTGCAGAGATCTCGCAGTGAGGGTGTGCAGGGGGAGTGGTGTGCAAGGGAAGAGAATGGCAACACGCGAATGGACGGATGGGAGCGGAGTGGTGGGGTGGGGTGGAATGTAATGAGACACATGCACCCATCCACCCACCCCTCCACCCACACAAACACTCCCACACCAGCAGAAGCCCTTTCACACCCACATGCACCCATGCACTCACACGTGCATGCATCCCTCAATCCACCCACCCGTCACCAAAGGGCGGGAAGGCGAGCCCCATGTCATCCAGCAGCACACACTTACCACGCACACCCAAAACCACCCCTCCCATCCACTCCCCCAAACCGCTCCATACACACAAGGCACAGCCACACATGCACCCATCCACCCACCCACACAAACACCCATGGCACTGCATCACCCACACAAACACCCATGGCACTGCATCACCCACACAAACACCCATGGCACTGCATCACCCACCCGTCACCAAAGGGCGGGAAGGCGAGCCCCATGTCGTCCAGCAGCACTGCCTGCTCCACGTGGAGGGCTCCCATTGGCCCCAACGTCCTCACCAGGTAGACGTCCGGGTGGCGTGAGTAGCGGTCCCAGGCTGGGAGGAAGTATTATGTAGGAGGGGTAAGAAGATATAGGAAGGGAAAGGAAGGGGGAGTGAGCCGCGTAGCGAGGCAATTCATAGCACAGCAAGAATGCTCATCACATCACGATGACGATGGGGAGAGGGAGGTCAGGAAGGGGAAGAGGGGAGGGAGGATTGGGTAAGGAAGGAGAGAAACAGATGGAGAGAAACAGATGGAGAGAAACAGATGGAGAGAAACAGATGGAGAGAAACAGATGGAGAGAAACAGATGGAGAGAAACAGATGGAGAGAAACAGATGGAGAGAAACAGATGGAGAGAAACAGATGGAGAGAAACAGATGGAGAGAAACAGATGGAGAGAAACAGATGGAGAGAAACAGATGGAGAGAAACAGATGGAGAGAAACAGATGGAGAGAAACAGATGGAGAGAAACAGATGGAGAGAAACAGATGGAGAGAAACAGATGGAGAGAGGGCGCAGGAAGAGCCTTGCTGAAGGAGCATATCGTTGGGCTGAAACAAGGGAGAGTGATGCCGAAGGACGGTAATGTTGGGCTGATACAACGAGCCCTGTAGACCGCTGTGCATCAACCTGTCATTGTCATTGTTGGGCTATGGGTTGGTCCTGAGAATTCTTAAAATCAACCTCAACAAAAATGGATGCACCTGCCACTGTTGATGTGCGTATGCTTCTCCATCCATGGCTATGTATGCATCCTACCTGAAACCGAAGCCATAAAAAACCCGGCCCACCCACACCTCCCCCACGTGCATCCCCCCCCACCCTCACCTGCCCCATCCCCTCCTCACCTCCCCTCCCCTTCCCTCCCCCCCTGCCCCGCACCTGCCAGCCGCACAACAAAGCGGGTCGCACGAAGGCGGTCTGCCTGAGTGGTGCGCAGGAACATCTGGGGGGAGGGGAAAGCGGAGGAGGAGTGGGAGGGGGACGGGATTAGAGAGAGGGGGGGGGGGGGGTAAAAGAGAGGGGCCTGGAGGGAGGGAGCAGAGGAGGCAGGTGAGGTGGTGGAGGCAGGTGAGGTGGTGGAGGCAGGTGAGGTGGTGGAGGCAGGGGTCAGAAAGAAGCGGAGAGGAGGAGGGAGGGGAGGGGAGATGAGCGGTGAGTAGCATGTGAATGGATGGTGGAGGGGTTAAGCCTGAGTTGAGTGGAGTAACGATTGGAGGAGTGAGTGTGGAAGATGTGAGGGGGAATGGGAAGGAAAGTAGGAGGTGGGGAAGGTGAGGAGGACGAGCAGAGGGAGGAGGAGGGAGGGGACAAGCAAGAAAAAAGGTGGGGGGAATGGGGAGAGAAGGTGATGTGGATGAAACCAGGGGGCGGAGGAAGGAAGGGGAGGGTCGTGGGATTGGGATGGTGAGAAAGATGGGTGTGGTGGAAGATGGGTGTGGTGGAAGATGGGTGTGGTGGAAGATGGGTGTGGTGGATAGGTTGAGTGGGAACGGCGTTACCACAGCCAGCCACACAAGCAAAGATCCCTCCCATATGCAGCAACATCACACATGGCAGCATCACACATGGCAGCATCACACATGGCAGCATCACACATGGCAGCATCACACATGGCAGCATCACACATGGCAGCATCACACATGGCAGCATCACACATGGCAGCATCACACATGGCAGCATCACACGCGGCAGCATCACACGCGGCAGCATCACACGCGGCAGCATCACACGCGGCAGCATCACACGCGGCAGCATCACACGCGGCAGCATCACACGCGGCAGCATCACACGCGGCAGCATCACACATGGCAGCATCACACATGGCAGCATCACACATGGCAGCATCACACATGGCAGCATCACACATGGCAGCATCACACATGGCAGCATCACACATGGCAGCATCACACATGGCAGCATCACACATGGCAGCATCACACATGGCAGCATCACACATGGCAGCATCACACATGGCAGCATCACACATGGCAGCATCACACATGGCAGCATCACACATGGCAGCATCACACATGGCAGCATCACACATGGCAGCATCACACATGGCAGCATCACACATGGCAGCATCACACATGGCAGCATCACACATGGCAGCATCACACATGGCAGCATCACACATGGCAGCATCACACATGGCAGCATCACACATGGCAGCATCACACATGGCAGCATCACACATGGCAGCATCACACATGGCAGCATCACACATGGCAGCATCACACATGGCAGCATCACACATGGCAGCATCACACATGGCAGCATCACACATGGCAGCATCCCACATGGCAGCATCCCACATGGCAGCATCCCACCTGGCAGCATCACACATGGCAGCATCACACATGGCAGCATCACACATGGCAGCATCACACATGGCAGCATCACACATGGCAGCATCACACATGGCAGCATCACACATGGCAGCATCACACATGGCAGCATCACACATGGCAGCATCACACATGGCAGCATCACACATGGCAGCATCACACATGGCAGCATCACACATGGCAGCATCACACATGGCAGCATCACACATGGCAGCATCACACATGGCAGCATCACACATGGCAGCATCACACATGGCAGCATCACACATGGCAGCATCACACATGGCAGCATCACACATGGCAGCATCACACATGGCAGCATCACACATGGCAGCATCACACATGGCAGCATCACACATGGCAGCATCACACATGGCAGCATCACACATGGCAGCATCACACATGGCAGCATCACACATGGCAGCATCACACATGGCAGCATCACACATGGCAGCATCACACATGGCAGCATCCCACATGGCAGCATCCCACATGGCAGCATCCCACCTGGCAGCATCACACATGGCAGCATCACACATGGCAGCATCACACATGGCAGCATCACACATGGCAGCATCACACATGGCAGCATCACACATGGCAGCATCACACATGGCAGCATCACACATGGCAGCATCACACATGGCAGCATCACACATGGCAGCATCACACATGGCAGCATCACACATGGCAGCATCACACATGGCAGCATCACACATGGCAGCATCACACATGGCAGCATCACACATGGCAGCATCACACATGGCAGCATCACACATGGCAGCATCACACATGGCAGCATCACACATGGCAGCATCACACATGGCAGCATCACACATGGCAGCATCACACATGGCAGCATCACACATGGCAGCATCACACATGGCAGCATCACACATGGCAGCATCACACATGGCAGCATCACACATGGCAGCATCACACATGGCAGCATCACACATGGCAGCATCACACATGGCAGCATCACACATGGCAGCATCACACATGGCAGCATCACACTTGGCAGCATCACACATGGCAGCATCACACATGGCAGCATCACACATGGCAGCATCACACATGGCAGCATCACACATGGCAGCATCAAACATGGCGGCATCACACATGGCGGCATCACACTTGGCAGCATCACACATGGCAGCATCACACATGGCAGCATCACACATGGCAGCATCACACATGGCAGCATCACACATGGCAGCATCACACATGGCAGCATCACACATGGCAGCATCCCACATGGCAGCATCCCACATGGCAGCATCCCACCTGGCAGCATCACACATGGCAGCATCACACATGGCAGCATCACACATGGCAGCATCACACATGGCAGCATCACACATGGCAGCATCACACATGGCAGCATCCCACATGGCAGCATCCCACATGGCAGCATCCCACATGGCAGAATCACACATGGCAGCATCCAACATGGCAGCATCACACATGGCAGCATCACACATGGCAGCATCACACATGGCAGCATCACACATGGCAGCATCACACATGGCAGCATCACACATGGCAGCATCACACATGGCAGCATCACACATGGCAGCATCACACATGGCAGCATCACACATGGCAGCATCACACATGGCAGCATCACACATGGCAGCATCACACATGGCAGCATCACACATGGCAGCATCACACATGGCAGCATCACACATGGCAGCATCACACATGGCAGCATCACACATGGCAGCATCACACATGGCAGCATCACACATGGCAGCATCACACATGGCAGCATCACACATGGCAGCATCACACATGGCAGCATCACACATGGCAGCATCACACTTGGCAGCATCACACATGGCAGCATCACACATGGCAGCATCACACATGGCAGCATCACACATGGCAGCATCACACATGGCAGCATCACACATGGCAGCATCACACATGGCAGCATCACACATGGCAGCATCACACATGGCAGCATCACACATGGCAGCATCACACATGGCAGCATCACACATGGCAGCATCACACATGGCAGCATCACACGCGGCAGCATCACACGCGGCAGCATCACACGCGGCAGCATCACACGCGGCAGCATCACACGCGGCAGCATCACACGCGGCAGCATCACACGCGGCAGCATCACACGCGGCAGCATCACACGCGGCAGCATCACACGCGGCAGCATCACACGCGGCAGCATCACACGCGGCAGCATCACACGCGGCAGCATCACACGCGGCAGCATCACACGCGGCAGCATCACACGTGGCAGCATCACACGCGGCAGCATCACACATGGCAGCATCACACATGGCAGCATCACACATGGCAGCATCACACATGGCAGCATCACACATGGCAGCATCACACATGGCAGCATCACACATGGCAGCATCACACATGGCAGCATCACACATGGCAGCATCACACATGGCAGCATCACACATGGCAGCATCACACATGGCAGCATCACACATGGCAGCATCACACATGGCAGCATCACACATGGCAGCATCACACATGGCAGCATCACACATGGCAGCATCACACATGGCAGCATCACACATGGCAGCATCACACATGGCAGCATCACACATGGCAGCATCACACATGGCAGCATCACACATGGCAGCATCACACATGGCAGCATCCCACCTGGCAGCATCACACATGGCAGCATCACACATGGCAGCATCACACATGGCAGCATCACACATGGCAGCATCACACATGGCAGCATCACACATGGCAGGATCCCACATGGCAGCATCCCACATGGCAGCATCCCACATGGCAGAATCACACATGGCAGCATCCAACATGGCAGCATCACACATGGCAGCATCACACATGGCAGCATCACACATGGCAGCATCACACATGGCAGCATCACACATGGCAGCATCACACATGGCAGCATCACACATGGCAGCATCACACATGGCAGCATCACACATGGCAGCATCACACATGGCAGCATCACACATGGCAGCATCACACATGGCAGCATCACACATGGCAGCATCACACATGGCAGCATCACACATGGCAGCATCACACATGGCAGCATCACACATGGCAGCATCACACATGGCAGCATCACACATGGCAGCATCACACATGGCAGCATCACACATGGCAGCATCACACATGGCAGCATCACACATGGCAGCATCACACATGGCAGCATCACACTTGGCAGCATCACACATGGCAGCATCACACATGGCAGCATCACACATGGCAGCATCACACATGGCAGCATCACACATGGCAGCATCACACATGGCAGCATCACACATGGCAGCATCACACATGGCAGCATCACACATGGCAGCATCACACATGGCAGCATCACACATGGCAGCATCACACATGGCAGCATCACACATGGCAGCATCACACGCGGCAGCATCACACGCGGCAGCATCACACGCGGCAGCATCACACGCGGCAGCATCACACGCGGCAGCATCACACGCGGCAGCATCACACGCGGCAGCATCACACGCGGCAGCATCACACGCGGCAGCATCACACGCGGCAGCATCACACGCGGCAGCATCACACGCGGCAGCATCACACATGGCAGCATCACACATGGCAGCATCACACATGGCAGCATCACACATGGCAGCATCACACATGGCAGCATCACACATGGCAGCATCACACATGGCAGCATCACACATGGCAGCATCACACATGGCAGCATCACACTTGGCAGCATCACACATGGCAGCATCACACATGGCAGCATCACACATGGCAGCATCACACATGGCAGCATCACACATGGCAGCATCACACATGGCAGCATCACACATGGCAGCATCACACATGGCAGCATCACACATGGCAGCATCACACATGGCAGCATCACACATGGCAGCATCACACATGGCAGCATCACACATGGCAGCATCACACATGGCAGCATCACACATGGCAGCATCACACATGGCAGCATCACACATGGCAGCATCACACTTGGCAGCATCACACATGGCAGCATCACACATGGCAGCATCACACATGGCAGCATCACACATGGCAGCATCACACATGGCAGCATCACACATGGCAGCATCACACATGGCAGCATCACACATGGCAGCATCACACATGGCAGCATCACACATGGCAGCATCACACATGGCAGCATCACACATGGCAGCATCACACATGGCAGCATCACACATGGCAGCATCACACATGGCAGCATCACACATGGCAGCATCACACATGGCAGCATCACACTTGGCAGCATCACACATGGCAGCATCACACATGGCAGCATCACACATGGCAGCATCACACATGGCAGCATCACACATGGCAGCATCACACATGGCAGCATCACACATGGCAGCATCACACATGGCAGCATCACACATGGCAGCATCACACATGGCAGCATCACACATGGCAGCATCACACATGGCAGCATCACACATGGCAGCATCACACATGGCAGCATCACACATGGCAGCATCACACATGGCAGCATCACACATGGCAGCATCACACATGGCAGCATCACACATGGCAGCATCACACATGGCAGCATCACACATGGCAGCATCACACATGGCAGCATCACACATGGCAGCATCACACGTGGCAGCATCACACGTGGCAACATCACACGTGGCTGCTTCACTCGTGGCAGCATCACACATGGCAGCATCACACATGGCAGCATCACACATGGCAGCATCACACATGGCAGCATCACACATGGCAGCATCACACATGGCAGCATCACACATGGCAGCATCACACATGGCAGCATCACACATGGCAGCATCACACATGGCAGCATCACACATGGCAGCATCACACATGGCAGCATCACACATGGCAGCATCACACATGGCAGCATCACACATGGCAGCATCACACATGGCAGCATCACACATGGCAGCATCACACATGGCAGCATCACACATGGCAGCATCACACATGGGCAGCACTCACGAGCGGCAGGCGAGCATCCATGGGCACACAGAGGAAGCCGATCTTTGCCCTGTCGGGGGGCAGCCAGGCAACGGGCACATGGGCAAGAGGGAGGCGGGCAAGAGGGAGGCGGGCAAGGGGGAGGCGGGCAAGGGGGAGGCGGGCAAGGGGAAGGCGGGCAAGGGGCAGATGGGCAAGGGGCAGATGGGCAAGGGGCAGAGCAACCAGAAATAGGGTTAAGGGGGTTTACGCAGACTGAAAGAGGGGTGAAGCAGCAGTGCGTGTAGTTCAAGTACTCGTAGATATTGTTGAAGTACTCGTATATAATGTGTTGAGAAAACATGAAGGGCGAAGTTGGGTTGATTGAAGCCTCATCACTCGCCTCATCATCCTGGAGCTTCAATAATCTCCCCAACCCAGCCCAGCCTCGGGACCCAAACAACTGAACTTGGGTATAAATAACCTTGAAAAGGGTAAGACCTCGTTGTACATTTGCAAAGAACTCACTCGGAGGAGGAGGCACTCACTTGGAGGAGGAGGCACTCACTTGGAGGAGGAGGCACTCAATTGGAGGAGGAGGCACTCACTTGGAGGAGGAGGCACTCACTTGGACGAGGAGGCACTCACTTGGAGGAGGAGGCACTCACTTGGACGAGGAGGCACTCACTTGGAGGAGGAGGCACTCACTTGGAGGAGGAGGCACTCACTTGGACGAGGAGGCACTCACTTGGAGGAGGAGGCACGGGAAAGCTTGCTGCGTGAGCTGGCTCTTGTGCTGCTCGCTGCCATGCTGTGCATCCGCATGAAGCTCTCCCTGCTCCCCCCGCCCATGCTCTCACTCCTCACGCTGCTGTCCCCCCGCACGCTGCTGTAAGGTGTGGTGTCCGGCTCACTGCATGTGGCCGTGCTGGAGCTTCTCACATTATGCATTGCTGCACCTGTTGCTGGCACTGCTGCACCTGCTGCACCTGCTGCACCTGCTGCACCTGCTGCACCTGCTGCACCTGCTGCACCTGCTGCTGGTTCATGTGCGGCTGATAGCACATTGGGCCTGTGCTGCTCCTCTGCCTCCTCTTCCCCTCCCTCCTCTCCTTCCTCTTCCTCCTCTTCATCTTCCCCCTCCTCTTTCTCCTCTTCCTCACTCTCTTCCTCCTCACCCTCCTCTTCCTCCTCTTCTTCTTCCTCCTCCTCTTCCTCCTCCTCCTCTTCCTCCTCCCTCCACAACCACGCCCCTCCTCTCGCCCCCACAGCACCCCCTTCCACCTCATCCACATGGTCTTTCAAGCAAACCACAAAGGCACGGTTCACTCGGGGCAGCACACTCACCACCTCCCCAACCATCTCATACTCCTCCCCCTCCCCATCCTCCCCATTTTCCCAATCCTCCTTATTCGCCCCCCTGCCTCTCCCCATGCCCATTTCTCCATACCCATCCCCAACCCCGCGTCCCCTGTGCTGATTCCACCCTGAAGCTGCAGGTCTTTTCCGGTGCCACTGCTCTTGCCCCACCTTGCTCCCATGCTGCTCCTCCTCCCCACACCCATCCCCCTGCCCCTGCGCATATCCATCCCAACCCGCCTGCCACCCACTGTAATCCTGCGCATACCCATTCCCACACCCATCTCCACCACCCTGTGCCTCCCCATACCCATCTCCGCCCCCCTGCCCCTGCCCATACCCACCCCCTTGCCCCTGCCCATCCCCCATCCCACCCCAGACCCCATGCTCCTGCTCCTTCGCCTGCCACCCCGCCTGTCCACTGCCATCATCCCCTCCTCCATTTCTCACCCCTTCCCCGTTCCACCCTCCACCCCCCCACCCAGGGGCAGGGGAAGCAGCAGACGCCTCCCCCAGCCAGTAGGGGGAGGGGGAGGGGCAGCAGGGGCCTCCCCCCAGCCAGTAGGGGCAAGGGGGGGGGATTCTCCCCATCCCGTGGGCGGAGGGGGAGTAGGGGCAACTTCCCCCCAGCCAGCGGGGGGAGGCTGGGGCAAGGCTTCCCCCCACCCTGAAGAGGCTGCGGGAGGGGGCGCCTCATCCCAGGCTGAAGGGGCCAGGGGGAGGTGAGTGTGAGCGTCAGACGTGGCAGCAGCAACGCCGCCGCCACCACCATCCCAACCACCGCTGGCAACCCCATCCCCATCCCCACCGGCACTGCCAACCCCAACCCCACCTCCGTCTTCCATTCCCTCACTCCACCCACCGTCGTGCCTCCTCACGCCCACCACACCCTCCTCTCCTCCCCTCATTCCGTCCCCTGCTTTCACACTCTCCCCCCATCCCCTCCTCTCATCCCCCTTCCCCACGCCTCCTCCCCCCTCCTGCCCGTTCCCCATTTGCCCGCCCCCCAAGTGCCCTCCGCTCATGTGCCCTTCCCCCGCCACCCGGCGCTTGCCCAGCAGCCTGACTGCCACGGTGTCGCCAGGGAGAGCGCGGTTGAGGTGGCGCCATGAGAGGATGGTGATGTCATTCTGGGGGGCGTGCACCTGCTTGCGACTGTACCAGAGGAGTGGTGGGGCGTGAGTGGGTGGGGCATGGGGCAGGGGGAAGGTGGCAGACTGTGTGAGCGGCTGAGATCTGACAAGCGCGGTTGAGGTGGCGCCATGTGGGGATGGTGATGTTGATGTGGGGCGAGTGCACCTGCTTGCGACTGGAAGAAAAGGCTGGGACATGTGGAGGGGAAAACGGAAAAGGGGAATGCATGGGGACGAAAACGGCTATGGTGCAAGAAGGCAGCAACGAAAAAAGGATCTGCAAAGTCAGGAGGAAATGTAAGTCAACACCAGTCAACGCCAGTCAACGCCAGTCAACGGCAGTCAACGGCACCCTGCCCTCACCTGCGTCTGACTGCCGTTTTGAAAGGCTCAGTGGTTGTGATGTGCAGCATTCTTACACAAATAGCCCCCCACTACCACCCCCTCTACCACATGAATTACAAGTCAACCCCAGTCAAAAGCACTCTGCCCTGACCTGCGTTTGACGGTGGCTTTGAATGGCTCGGTGGTTGTGATGTGCAGCACCCCCACTCGGATAGCCCCCACTGCCACCCCCTCCGCCACTGCTGTGCCTGGACAGTCGAAGATTATTAGAACCGTACCAATCGCAAAACATAAGGATAAATAGGAAATGGATGGTGTGAATGAGCACATACAGCACTGCAATTCCAAGGCACTTGTCAATGAAAATGGCCATCGGGAAGAAACATTCCGGTGTCACTTTTCAAAGAACGAGAATTCCTCGCGGCACCCCTGCTCTGCAATTGTCACAGGCCCAGTTCCCTTGCACACCGTGTCAATCCCCCCTCCTCCATGTCAACTGGCTCTCGACTCACTTGACAGGTGCGGTGTGAACACCTCCTTGCGCTGCTTCCTGCTGCCGAGCCTGCCACTTCCGAGCCTGCTGCCACCGAGCCTGCCACCGCCAGACGTGGATTTGAAGGATGAGGAGAGGCGCAAGGCATGCTGGGTGGCCTGGTTGGGGGGGAGGAGGACAGGAGCACACACAGGCATGTTGGTGGATACAGTTGATCAGCAGTTGAGGCATTGAGAATGGTTGATGCTCATGCTAAGCTATGATGTATTTGACGCGTTCAGCGTTTTGACGCCCCCTGTCCGAGGGGTACCCCCATTTTGACGCTCTGGCGGGCAGGCAAAAAAAAAATCCCGGGCAGGGGTAAAAAAAACTGGGAACAGGGGGTAGTAAGAGAGGTTGGGTGAGGGGTGGTAGGGCACGATTCAGTCCTGCACCATTCGGGTTCTTATAAACAAGATAATGCGTGTAAATCGGGTGGGCTGAGGTATCCAAATTCTTAGACTTGGGTGCAGGTTCGACATGGACACTTGGATCACTACCATCGGGTGGGGTGGAGGGTGGTTTGGGTATTGGTTTGGTTGGGGCCTGGTTTGGGGCTTTAAAATGTCGAGTTCAATTTGGCGGGTCGCGTCTTGAGTGCGGAATTTTGATTTCGATTTTTTTTTTTAACCTTTTTTTTCGAAGTCAGGCTGCCCAAAAACTTTTACCAGTAGCGTCAAGGTTCAAAACGGATTGACGCGTCAGTCCAAAACGCCACGTTTTGACCCTTGACGTTTTCAGTTTTGGGAGTCAAATCCATCATAGATGCTAAGAACATCAAGGAATGCGGATGGGCATAAGAATGGGATTGGGGTTGGGGATGCGGGCGGGGACTGGTGAAACACGAGCACATCGCGGTAACTGAAAATGAAATGGAAGGCTATTCTGACTTTAATCTAAAGTCTGAAGCTATGATAGAGGAAACAATGCGAATCAGAACGAGAAACAACAAAGAACGCAAGACGGGAACCTGGGTAAACGTACGTGCGCGGTTATCAGGTTGAGGTTCGGGTGCGCTAACTAAAGAGTTGCAGTGGGTTCAAATAATGTGCTCACGAGAGAGTCCATGAGCGTGGTGACCGTGCTGCAGTGGCCGTAGTAGGTCTGGAAGAATGCCTCTGTTGTCATCACCTGCCGCACAGGGAGATGGGCGACATATGGGGACACAAAGAAAGGGACAAAAGGCGAGACAAGGAACCGCATAGATAGTTGGGAGAGGGAGGGAAGGAGGAAGGAGAGAGAAGGCTGACGTTGCAGCAAGCGAAGTAAGGAGGTCAGATCTCTTGACACTTTTCCTGTTAATCCAGAGAAGTAAAAAAAATTGATACATGCAACAAAAATCACATCACATCACATCACATCACATCACATTACATCACACCACAGCACGTACCACCCGAACCCGCACATACCACCACCATGAATCGGAATCAGTGAATAGCATGCACGTACCACCACCTCGTTGCGCTGCACGGCCTGCAGCACCTCGCCCAATGGCATGCTGCCACGTGCCGCTGCCAGCTCGTCCGACACAATGAGGATGGGTATGGCGCGGTGCAGATGGGTTGAGAACCACTGTGCTGCCGCCACCACGTGACACAGATCCACTGGGACGGTGAGAACCAGAGGGGGTAAGAAGCACGCTCGCTCTTGATGTGAGATGCAGGGTTGATCGATGAACATGTGTTTTCTCAAGTCAACCCAAAGGAGGTATGAGAAGCATATTAGCTCGATGTGAGATGAAGGAATGCTAAAGAGGATGCAAACGCAAGTTTGCGCACGGGCATGACGGCATATTGTGGACACCGCACATACCCGCACACACACGTACACATGCGTCCATCACACACACTTTCAGCCGACACAACCTTACCAAGCGTCTTTCTAAAGCCCACCAGTGACGAATCAGTGAAGATCTTTGTCATGAGGTGGCAAGCATGCCCTCACCTCAAACACCAACCCTCGCACCTTCAGCGGAAGCAGCATCGCCGAGTGTCACCCTCAGGCTGGCCCGCCTCTCCTCCGCCATGGTGTGTGTGAAGAGGAAGTGGCGGTCGTCAAAGAAAGAGCTCTCCCGCCTCCCGTCCTCGCACAGAGCACTGCGATGGGGTGAAAGGAATGAGAGGAAAGCACATTTTGACAGTGAAACCAGGTGGGTTAAGGAGGACGAACTTGTCTTGAAGTCTCCATAAGACGGAGCAACTGAGAGGACACTGGGAGGAAAGGGTGAAAGACGAGGGGAGAGGGTGAAAGACGAGGGGAGAGGGTGAAAGACGAGGGGAGAGGGTGAAAGACGGGTACACTTTCAAGAAGCACCTAGAACAGGATAGGGAGTTGAGCGCGGGCAAGGGTACACTAAGCAATGCGAACATGGGAGGTACAGAGAAGGAGCGGGGCTTCAGATAGGAGAATAGGACAGCAAGGTCGGCAGCAAGGGCGACAGCAAGGGCGGCAGCAAGGGCGGCATGGTGAGGGAGTGGGAGGAACGGACCGGATGCGTCCAGCGTGATGGGCGCTGGAGAAGTGAAGCACCTGAGGGGTGACAGACGAATGGAGGAGGGGGAGAGGGGAAGGCGGGGAGGGAAGAGGGAGGAGAGGGGAGAGGGGTGAGGGGGGGAGATAGGGGAATGAGAAATGTGAAGGAAGGTGGAAAATAGGATGACAGGAGATGGGAGGGGGGAAGGGTAGTAGCGGAGCGAGGGGATGGGACAAAGAGCAATCAAAAGAGAAATATTCCATGGTTCCCCAGTTTAAGCGACCTCCTGCCATGTCAACCGACCGACCCACCCACTCCCTCAACTCATCCCCCCTCCCCTACCCTCCCTTTCGGCAACCCGCTCTTGTCACACACACACCTCCTTGAGCACGCAGCCCAGAGCCCACCCACTGAAGCATCCATCCACCTTCCCCTCACTTCCCCCTTCACTCCACCCACTCCTCCCCTGACCTCTCCTGCCACGCACCTCCTTGGGCACGCAGTCCAGTGCCCACCTGCTGACCCATCCATCCACCTTCCCCTCCCTTCCCCCCCTCCTACCCCTTAGGCACTCTTTCCTACCCGCACCTCCTTGAGCACGGAGCCCAGCACGATGGTGTGGCGTATGGGAGGCAGCTCCCACACCTCCATGTATTCCACCAGTGACGCTGCATCGGGGATCTAGGGGGAGAGAGGGGAGAGAGGGGAGAGGGGGGAGAGGGGGGAGAGGGGAGAGGGGGGAGAGGGGGGAGAGGGGGGGGGGGGGGAAGGGGAGGGGAGGGGATGGGGGGAGAGGGCGAGAAGGGGGAGAGGAGGGGAGAGGCCGGGAGGGAGGAGAGTAAGGAGGAGGGAAGAAGGCGGGAGGGGGGAGAGTATGGAGGAGGGAGAGGGTGGGAAGGGGGGGGGAGATTGGAAGGCGGAAGACGCGCGGAAGTCAACAACAACAGCAAGTGGTCGTGGCAATTTGAAATGCATGGAATGGAAGTGAGTCAGTACGGCTATCTCTCTGCCGCAAGTTGTCTTCCAATGCTCTTGTCCCTCATCATCGCCTCTCTTCCTTCCCCTTCAAGTGTAAGGCACGCGGAGGGAAAAGGGGAGAGCGAGACGTGAAGGGGGGAGGGGGAGAGAAGGTGGAGGAGAAATGGAGGACGAAAGGCAACGATGAGGGACTAGGGAGGGACCGCGCGGAGCATTGGAAGACAACTTGTGGCAGAGAAATAACCTCACTCACACACTGCAACAGAGATGAACCGGGAGGGTGGGGAGGGGAGGGAGGGGGGGGAGGGAGGGGAGGGGAGGATAATAACTCATCCACAATTTCAATCACTCCCTTCCCTAAACACCCATTCCCTCCCTCATTCACTCATCCACTCCCTCCCTCATTCACTCACCCATCCGTCCCGCATTCACTCACCCATCCGTCCCGCATTCACTCACCCACTTCCTCCCTCCACCATTCACCCACCCACTCCCTCCCTCATTCACCCATCCACTCCCTCCCTCACCACATAGTGTCTGGCGTTAGCAGACAAGGAAGGCCGGTCCGCCTCAACGTGAAGCAGCAGGTCCTCCTCAGGGAACTGCCAGAGCAGCTCTCTGGGAAGCAGCTGGCAGGGAAGCACATCCCAAAACAGCAGGGGGTCATGGCGGGGGAGGTGCGTGTAGCACGCATAGCACAGCGCAGACCCACACTTGATGTCCTCCCTCAGGTAGTGCTCTTGCACAAGCTTCATCACCCCCACGCCCCCCGCTGCTGGGCCACCAATTCCGCCTCCCGTCCCCCCCCCACCCCCCGTCCTCGCCCTGAGCCTCCGCCAGCGCTGCCGTAGATGCCGCCTCCCCCAGAAACGCCGAGCAGGCTGACGGTCGCGGCGGCCCCTGCGCCCACGCGGATGCCCAATGAGGGCCCGCCAGCTGTCCCGCCGCGCTTCCTGCGCATGCGCACGTTGGTGTCCTCCTGGGGGGGAGGCGGCGGGAGAGGGTTGGAGGGGGAAAGAGCGGCGGGGAACGGGAGAGGCGCAGAAGAAGGAGGGGGGGGGGGGGGGAGGGCGGGTGAGAGGGAGGGGGAGGGGGGAAGTGGATGGAGGAGCAAAAACGAATTTCGAGTCAGACAGTCGTTGGTGAAGGGATTCTGATAGAAACGCGACGGACGCGCGGAGACGCGCTGCTTGAGAATCTGCCGCGCTTCCCCGCACCAGCTCTCATGCTGCTCGTCTTATTAGAAGAATTAGTACTAGTGCTTCTAGGGTCGCGAATATGATTTTTGCGCTTCTAGGCCCGCGAACAGGATTCGACGCTTCTAGGCCCGCGAACAGGATTCGACGCTTCTAGGCCCGCGAACAGGATTCGACGCGTCTAGGCCCGCGAACAGGATTCGACGCTTCTAGGCCCGCGAACAGGGCGCTTCCGGGGCCGCGAGCAGGATTTTCAGGACTTAAGACAGGATTCCAAGTCGCACGCAGCTGATATTATCAACGACGGCACGGCGGAGAAACGTGGTCACGTCCCTGCTTGTATCACAACGCCGTACTCGCCAGCAGCCAATACTTTTTAAAAGGGAGTCAAGTGCGCGCAACTTACATATCTCGCGGTCCATCTGCCGAGACTCATCGTAACAATGCGACCTGGGCCGTCCAGTGTCAACCTATGCAGGTAAACCCGCAGATTCCGCCATCGTCGGTGCTGCTATGACCTCATCGTAAAAATGCTGCTATCGGATAGCATAGCGAGTGGAAGAATGCAAAAAGAAGAGTGCGAGTGGAAAGTCGCAATGTGTCAATGTGTCGGGAATCTGGACAATTTGGGGCCTGTTCTGAAAATACTTGGCCTTTATTCGGTCCAAAGTGATTGCCTGCTATTGAGTGCGTCGAATTCAGGCACCAGTACTTCGAAGTGTCGAGAACAGGAATTTTCCGGACTGAGGGTCGAGAGTGTCGGGTCTCGGGACACACCCTCATTCACCTTTCCACCCTCCATAATGAAGATACTTTTCTGAGTTCCATTTCCAAATGATCCTCAGAACACGCCTTTTTGGATTCCACACTCTAGTTTATCACTGCCTCTCAAATCTATCCTATTATATACACACGCGTGACGTCGGCACATGCCGCCCCGCCCGCCCTGGCACAGAGGGAATTGGGGCAAATCGAAAAACCCGCGAAATCCCTCCGGACCCCCGAAAATTCCCGGCTGACCATGCCGAAAAACCCTCCAAATCCCGCGGTTTCAATGTCGTATAGTTATGACAATATATATGTCAGCCGTAACAGTGGAAATTGGGGGACATTTATCGAGCACTGTTCGACGGACATTGGCTAATGGCCGTCGAGCTCCGTGCACCCCCGACAACTCTGGTTACACCGGCAGCATGTCGCCTACACGGTCGCGCTGACGGTCGACGGTTGCGAAACACGTTTCGCAGCCGGCCGACGGTCGCAACCGACGGCGACGTCCACTGCCGTCGACCTGTCGCCTCGCCGGTGGAGCGAACTGTCGCTGTCGGATGGGCGGCGGGTTACGTCAGTCGCAATCAAACGGTCACGTCAACAGGTGACGGCCACGTGAAATGTCACGGTAAGAGCATCTACACGACTCTGAACATCAGCCCAACCACGGTATAAACCTCCAACGAGAATTGTAGCATCACATAGTTTTCAGTAGGCCTAGGTTTTGGGAGGGATGGTAGCTTACGGTTTACTGTGATGGAGACCGATCCGTCGGCGACAGCGCCCCCTTCGACGAGCCGAGTTATAACGGTCGTGACAGGGACCACCTCGACGTCGAGACCCATACCGGTAGTGCAACAGCCGGTTGTTACGGACCAGCGTTCGACGGGCAATGCGGTCACTGTCGAAGTGATAGGTGTACAGACCGAATTCCCTTCGACAGGACAATCCATCCCTGTTGTGGTAGAACCCATCACGACAACCCCTCCATCCATTGCACGCGAGGCACCAACTCACCGTGCACCATCGTCGACAGCCAATCGCTCGACAGAACCTTCGGCTGGTGCACCGACCTTGACAGGTGGGCGACGTAGGAGAGCGAGGGTTGTTCCGCCTGAGGTTCGACAACCACCCCCAGCCGGCACATCCGCAGCTCGAGCTACGCCAGCCGCTCCTCGGCGCACTTCGACGAGACCAAGCAGAGAGGACTTAGCCAGGAACGTCCCTGAAGTGACGGACGATGAGGATGTTCGGACGGGAGAACAGCAGCAGGCGGACGATGTCGAACCGCCGGACCCTCTGCGGCCTGCCGCGGCAAATATATCAGAGGAGGATGCCGCGCACATTCTCGGCGACCAACAGGGCGCCGCCAATCCGTACTTGGCGACGGGAACAATAGAGAGCAGGATTCTCCGTTGTGAGGTTCCGCTGCTGGGAGTTGACCAGGATTCCACACGGCCGAACTATGTCTCTGGATGCATGCACTACAAAGCTTGGGCCTGTTTAACTCTGGCGACTGGAAGAAACAACAGAGTTCCTGAAGAGGAGCAGGTGATCCACGAGGACGAGATCGGTAGGGAGATCGGCGACGATATGGGGCCGAGATGGAGGGAGGCGCTCCGTAACGAGGAGCACCTGCACGGGCCGAAAATTACGAAATGGCGCTTGCGCGCTTACGTCGAATACATGTCGACAGAAACGGACGCACAGGCAGCATCCTTGGATACAGGCCGGACCAGAGTCGCGGGAAAGAAGCAGAAAAAATGCACCCCTCCGATGATGCTGGCGCGCCTTACTGCGCTGACTGCTTCTGCAAAGTACAGGCCATACTCTTCGACGAGCCACTAACGAAACCCTTGGACGACATCACCGAGGCTTGGCAGCTTCTTGCGGTCAAGCTGCGACAGCTGCACGACTTTCAGTTCGAGTAAGCAGGCTGCCATACACCGGTGACTGAAACTTCCCACTCCCGTTCTCACCCATTAATCGCTGTATCTCCCCATTCAATGCAGGCAGTGCGTCGATCCACACAGGGGCTCGCTCGACGATGTTTACACGGAGGAGCAGTTTCGCATTCTCGTTTCAGACATCCTGCCGTGCTGGGCCAAGGAGTACTTTCGGGAGTCGATGGGTCACCCCAGCCAGTCGCTGTGGAGGGCCTTGGCCGTGAGGGTGATGATCCTGATGGCGCATCACATGCTGGGCAGGGGGGTAAGCATCAACGAGATCCGCTACTGCAATATGTTCACTCACGTCCTTCCGCCCATCACGAACAGCAAGGGGGAATCGTCGATCCACGTCCTCGTGGTCGCCTATCGCAACTCGAAGACCATCAAGGACAACAAGCTCGGCCACCTGTACTTGACTCGACACATGGACTTCCGGCAGTGCAGCTTCGGAGCAGTGTTCATGTGGATACATTTCCTATTCGACCTTGTGCCGCTCCAGTACGGGAACGATAAGATCGTGCCCCCCTTGGATTTCAGTAACCCGGAAAACTGGTCGAAGAAGCACCTTTTCTTCGCCCTCTTCGACAAGGACAAGACCGAGTTGCCGTACGCAACTCATGCGAAATGGGTGCTCTGGGCGATGAAAAGCGCGGAGTGGATCCTGTCGAAAGTCACGCACATCTTTCGACGGTCTGCGGCACAGATCCTCGCCGACAAAAACTGTGAACTCGACAACATCGCGCAGCTGGGTCAATGGGACATGAATGAGATGCGCAGGTCATACGTCACAGGCATCCCGCGCGGGGCCATCCAGCTGCAGGCGGGGTTCACGACGGAACCGGGTGACTATTACATCAGAAGATCGAAAAGCGAAGTACCCGAGAAGGTCCTGAAGGCCATCGAGAAGCACATCTTTCCGAAGGCGGAGCAGTGGCTACAAGAGGTATGGATGCGTCGAGCGCCTAGCGTGATCATCGCCCGCAAGTTTCGCACGTCTTTCTCTCAATGTCACCACGTTTGTTTCTTGTTCAGGCGATGGAATGGAACAACGAGCAGGACAAGGAGCATATGTTCTTCGCAGCAAAAAGTTTCTTGAAGGCCCTGCAAGCCGCCCGTATGCCCATCGCAGAGGATCATGCGATGTACTACGTCCATTGTGACGACCATCCCTTCGACGGTGTGACTGTTTGTGACTGCGAGCGTCATCCGTACGCACAGATGTCGGATTTGTGCAAGGACATGGACTTCCAAAAATGGGCGCTTGACGTGTACCTGCTCGACAAGTACGGCATCGAGATGCGGACCAACCCGACCATGTCGAGAGCATCGGTAAGATGGCCCTTCCACATCTTGATCCGAAGTGTTTGCATCAGCCCATTCACCGCTCACCGTCTTGTGTGCAGGACGCATCCTTCCAACTCAACACCAAGCACGTCATCACACAACTTCGAGCGGAGGTTAACTTACACAAGGAGGAGGGAGGGAAAAAAGAAATCAAGATCAAACACCTCGAGCAGAAGGTCGAGTCATTGGAGCGGGAGAAGGGCGCGATGCAAGCGGCGTTGGAGGCGAAGGACGAGGCTCTCGCGCGACTGCAGAAAGCGTTCGACGCACTTAAAATTACCGCGGCGACAAGCGCGGCTGCGAACGTGGGGGATAACGAGAGCGTACCGCAGACGGCGACCGAAGAAACGACCCCGCCAACACAGCAAGCCCCACAAACAACACCCACTCGACAGAGCGTGGGCAGCCAACTCGACCAAGCATTGTTCGACGCTGTGGTGTGGCCGTGGTGCAATTGCGAGACCGTGCGGCAGGCGTGGTCCTACTCGGACGGGCCAAGCCCGCTGAACAACGGACACAGTCTTCAACACGCTTACAGGAGGGGCTTCGCCGTCAAGTTCAGCAAGTTCACTCCGACTCCTCCCCCCGTTCACCCTGAAGAGGAGGGCAGGCCAAAAGAAAAGCCTCCGTCCCGAAAAGCTGTCGAGTCGAAATTGCGGAAAATGGAAGTTGTCATGAGGGCCGTCGAGACGTTCAGGCTCGACGACAGCAGCGCGGCTACGTCGACGGTAATTGAGAAGCTTGACTCGATTGTCACGAAGCACTCGATCAACATGCTGGCGGAAGGGCTCGTTCTCAAGGAGGATTCGGGCAAGCAGCTCACGAAGAAGCGGAAAGTCGAGACCGCAGAAGAAAACCGCAAGGACAAAGATCGCCTCAGGATCACGCGGGAGCTAATTCGCATCGAACTCCGAACCACGGAATGGGCCGAGAACGTGTTCAACGACAAATGGACGGAGTTCATGAAGGCAATGGGCGAGGGCCCTAGTTCGACAAGCAACCGTGACGAGGGGGGAAACTAGAGGGGATTTTCTTTCAGACTTTGCATGCCATGTTGAGCATTATCGAATAGTTGAACTACTTTAACATGTCGAATACGGAAAGTCAAGAATTATGCAGCAGGTACAGCCTGTCGATCAAACTCTGGAAACAACAAACACAACTGTCGAGGGATACAAACACCCCCTCGCGCCCGCCTATACTACTCCCCTTGCCCGCCCGTTTCCTTCTCCGTAGCATCCTCGTCGCCCAGCTTCGCCTTGCTCTTTTCTTCTGGCATTGTCAGGCTGCCATAGCCCGCGTCCTCCAGCAAGCGGGCAGCCGATCGACAGCAGCACCATTGCGTGCAGACCTGTGCGGCCACGCGAACCATCTGCAACAAGACAGGGTCCGTCGAGCCAAGTCCTTCGACAGCCGATGAATACAGCTGATCGGGCCACTGCTTCGCCGGGTACGTCTTGCCGACGTGCAAAAGTATGGACACGAGCGCGGCCATAGCAGCCACACAAGCCTTGGTCGCAGTCTCCGGGGCGACGAGAGCAGCGTTTGCGGCAGCTAGGGCATCCTTCTTAATATCCTCCCTCGACAACTTCCTGCACGCCGCCCACAAGCTCGCCAGAGTTGTAGCAATGGCCATCATGTGTGGTGTCGCCGCCATGCCCTTAGGAACCGGATAAATCAGGTTCCCGTGCTTCAGGCCCAGCGTCGCGACCTTACCAATCGCCGCGCACAGCGCGATTCCCCAGTCGGTTCCAGCTCGAACTTCCTTATTTGCCGTCGCCAACAGCGACTGGAAACTGCACATCGCAACAAACGCGTAAGCCAGGAGGCCAGAATCCGACCGATAGAGAATTCACCGCCAAACAGCATGTGTTCGACAAAACACACCAACAACAGAACTTCGACACAAATGTCAAAGAACAGGAATTCGACAAAACTCACTCGTCGAAACGACATTCCCCTTGTTCTTGCGCCACGCTCCAAACGCCGGTTGGCATTTTCGCAGCCGCATCGAGATAGACCTTCCACTCCTGCTCGTCCTGCGCCGTAAATGCTTCGTACTCGGTAAGGACTATGTCGGGGAAGTACACGCGCCAGCAGATGGCCGTACAAAACTTTTGGTCATTCTCCGTTTCAAAGTGTCCCAAGAACCGCTTCCTCCCGCCGACGGTCTGCTCGGAAACCGGCTTCCCCTTCCGCAACCCGAAACCCTGTCCTTTGAAGGGAGCTTTGAGGTGGGGTGTAACCCATCACCTTGGCCTTCTTCGACTTTTCCTGTCGAGCAGCAACGACAATAGTGGTCTTCTCGACAGGCGCCTGACCAGGGACGCTGGCCATCTCCTCGACGTCAAGGCCCTCTGTCGCATGTGCAGAGCGCTTCGACGACTTCGTCGCAGCACGCTTCTTCTTCGACGTCGAAGGGGAGCCCGGATCGCTAAGGCAAACGTTGCCTAGAGCCGGAGCAAGGACGACAGGAGCAACTGGAGGGGTTGAGGACGACGCCCTATTTCCCACATGCTCGACAGCTCGGCCAGCAGCACCGCTCTGCGCAGCTGATGCCCCCTTAGTCTTCGACATCAACCCAGCGGTTGCCTCTCCCGCTCCTTTCCCCGCACCGCCGTTGGACGGGGTAGGGGCACCTCGCTTTCCAAGGGCTCTATTCCCGGTCGAGGCGACATGCTCGTTCGGGGCACCACTTTTCTCCCCCGCAACCACTCCTTTCCCACCCGTTTTTCCCAGGCCCTGCAGCATATCCCGCATCGAAGCGAACGCATCAGGTGGAGGGATAGGAGCCGCTACAGAGGTCTTCGGGAGGGGCGACTGGTCGAGAACGATGACCTCGTTATCCTCGACGGGCTTGGCGACGGGATGACGGCCACGCGCCGGTGGGGATGCAACCGGGCTGCCGACATGTCCTCCCACCGAAGAAGACGGAGGAACCGACCGCTCGTGACAACGAGGCTCAGCGCCGCTGCGAACCCCTGCCACACCCTCCTGACGCGACCTCGTCGACGGGCCCGCCGATCGCTGGAAACCTCTCGCCATCGCTTCGATGAGGACTTCCAGTCGCCCAGCTTCGCCTTCCTGGTATCCTTCCCTCACAATGTCCTTCAGCTCCTTCATGGTCTCGGGTGGGAGGTTAGTGTAAAATATGTCCTCCTTAATGGCTTTCTCGAAACCCTTCAGCACCGCTGCAACCAGCCGCTCCTCGACCTGCTTGAGCTGCTTCTCAACGGCGTCCTCGCTCGCTTTTGTGATGGCGGCTGCCACCCCCTCGATGATCTTCCCGGTCATCTCGTCGATCTTCGCCCGCGCCCCTTCCAACAGTATCCTCTCCGCCGTGACACCCTTCACAGCCTCGGCGCAGCGCGACAGTGTGCTCTTCGACGACTCCGAAATCGTATTTCAGGCTGTCCGAAAATCCGCAGCAAGCGTGTTGAATATTCCAGCTTGCTCAGTGTGTTTCGCAAACACGTCGGCGACGAGCTGCTTCTGCGACGCCTCGACTTTCTCGACCCTCTGCAGAAGCTCGACGACCTGGCCTCCGGGTGCAACAATCGCCGTCGATTGGCCCGCCGTCGAAGGCCCTCCGGTCGAAGGGCCCGCCTGTCCGCTGCCACTGGCCGTGCGGTGTCTCCTTGTTACCGTGGCCTGTCGCTCATCTCCTCGACGATACTCCTCAGCAGCCTCCCCGCCCTCCTGCTCCTGCCCTCCCGCCCCACCCACCCGCGCAGCCGCAACCCTAGACTCCTGCTGCTGCACTACTGCCCCACCCTCCTGCGCAGCCGCCACGCCCTTTTGCTGCTGCCCTCCTGCCCCGTCCTCCTGCGCAGCCGCCTCGCCCACCTGCTGCTGCCCTCCGACCCCACCCTCCTGCGCAGCCGCTCCGCCCACCTGCTCCTCGACAGCCTTTTTTTTCCCCCGTCGCCTGCTGCTCGATACGCTTCACCCGCTCGTCCACCCGCTCCCCGAGCGCCACTCCGTGCTCCCCCGTACGCTCCGTGCTATGTCCGGTGCCCTCGCCGTCCTCCTCGTCCGACTCATCGCTCGAGCTCGAGCCGGAGCTCGATCCCGATCCCGAGTCCTCGTCCATGTTCGCATCGCCGCCCCGGCCGCTCGCTCCGTGCTGAGCCTGCCTCGATGTATCCTCCTCGATCTCCTCCTCCTCCTCCTCGACGCTGTACTCAACAACGACGCGTGCCGACTCCTCGCCTCCTCCCTCGTGGTCGGCACCCCCTCCCGCACCTGCTCCCTCCGCAACCTGGACGATCTTTCCCGAAAACAGCTTGGCCATGAACACCGGAAGCGCACCCGGGCCAGGGTTCGTTCTCCCGAGAGGCACGAGATCGCCCTTTCGAGGCTGCTCGATGAAGGCGTTCCATTTCGACAGAATCCGGCGCACCCCATGCACGACACAAGCTGCCGCGCCGTTTTCATAGGGGCTCGACAAGGGCGTCGTCGTCTGCGACGGGTGAAAACATACGTAAGCGACAGATCACATGCTCGACGAAAACACTGGGGGTCTAAGGAGAGCTTACCAGCAGATCGAAATCCTCGTTCAACTCCACACGAAGGTCGATCAGTTTCAACACTTCTTGGTCGTGCAAGGTCGGAGCCTGGTGGGTCATCGCGTACTTGGCGCGAAGCTGCTTCTTCATCCACCTGCGACGCAACAGAGAGAAGAGTAAGATTGTCGAGAACAGCAGCTCGACAGCAGGGCGGCAAAGCTGTCACTCACACGAAAACTTCTTGCGCCAGAGAAGATTGGTGGTTCATATCGGGAAACTTGTCTTTCGAATCGAAGTGCATCATTCGAGTTCGACTGCCACGGTGCCTCGGAGCCAGCAGATCGTCGGGGCGCGATACCACAAACAGGCTCGAGTGGGAGAACGGAGCCACACTCATTCTGCATGCAGAGCCAATGCACGTGAGAACGGGTTCAGGGCGAAAGACGGAGCACGCAAGGACGGGATAGTGTCGAACTCACGGTGTTCGCAGCAGAACGAAAACCACATGCTTGCCGAGGAGGCCGTCCAGGTGGTTGCTCGCAAAAGCGACTGGGGTGGGACGGGCCAACTCTTCACGCGCACGCGCCGGAGTCACTATCGACACCTTGGGGAGCTGCTCGACGGACATCAGCTCATGACAGAACAGGCTGCACGGAAAGCTAAGGCAACGTCAGCGACAGGTAAACCGAAACATGGCAAACCGAAAATGCTCGGCAGGACACGTACACGACGCCCGCGACCATCATGCTCTCGTCGAGCTCCCGTTTCGGCGCCTCGCGAATCGCATCCAGCTGGTCCTCGTACACCTCCACCTCGACCCCACCTGCACTTAGGATGACGCCGCGTCGAACCGTCGGCTCGTTCATGATGGGTACGGAGGCGGGGCCCGTAGCCATGTCAGTCCTAGCAACGGAGAGGGCGGGCGCGCAGGGAAGTTGGGAACTAGCAGGGACTAGGAAGTAGGGAAGTGAAGTAAAAATCGGAAAAAGCAACAAAATGAGACCGCACGCAGGGTATTAGCTGTTTGCCGTCCCTCCCACCGCGACGGACCAGGGGGGTTCAAGGGCCAGGAGGCAGGGCGCGTTCCGAGACGCGGGAGGAGGAGCCCTTCGCGGAGACCGGCGGAGCCCTATTGGCCTCGACGTGAAACCTGGTTGTTGGTTGCATGGAATGGGGCGATTTGCATGCAGCCGAAAGGCCCCTTTCAAGGCTCGGGAGGGGGCCTTCGACACGTCACCAAGATCGAGCGGCTTGAACGAAACGGGCCCGTCGAGGGGTAGAGCGGTGGAGCGCGGTGCAGACGGACGTCGGTTCCGTCTGGCCGGCGAAATTTCGCGGACTGGTTCCGTCGGCGATGCGTCGCTCGGCGAGGTATGGCTGGGTTACCGGACGGAACCCGTCCACGAACCGAGCGAGGGGTTGGGCTCGGTTGGGTGGGGACCACTGCCAGCTCGAGGGCGCGGGTTGCTGGCGTCACGCGCAGCTAGCGCCAGCTGGGGGGGCCCGTTTCCGGGCGTGAGGTGGGGGGTGGCTCCCGCCCCTCGCGTGCCCCGCTAGGCGACTGCGGGAAAACGAAAATCCCTCCGAGGAAAACCAGCAGGGGCGAACGGGTTTTCCCGGAGGGATTCGGCCGATGTCTTCCCCCCCATGCACATGATCCAACCCATAACCTATCAAAATGACATGGACAAGTACCTACTTGCAAATCCAGACCACTGGATCTAGTTCGGGACTCCGTCTTAGGAACTCCGTCCTCTCTCTTGCTCTTTCCCACTTCGGGAGATCATCCGCACAATCTCTTCCTTGGTAAAGCACGCCAGGTGCCATAGGAACATTCAAGCATGCAGAGCAACACGCGGCACGCAATAGCTAGATCTCGTCCGATCGTCTTGAGCCAAGGCCGATCTCGTCTCGCGATTCGCGCGAAGATGAGTTTACTCAACGCCAAGGGAGAGACGACAAGCGAAACGGTACTAGTGGAGCCTTTTCGTATCCAATGCGAGCTTCCTACGTGTTTTAGATCTCATACGACTCGTTTGTATGGAAAGTGTAGTTCTAAACCCCGAAACTTACGGCACGTTAACGAGAGTCTAGTCTCCAAGGTTCACGAGCAAGATCACGCCTTTCTTTCTCCTTGCAGTCGCTTCTTTCCTCCACGGTGAGTTCCCCTAAATCTTCACCAACTCTGCATGTTAGGTAAAGCATAATTTTCGTGGGAGCCATGGAAGGAAGACGTGAAAGAAACACAATATATTTCTGTAATGGTTGCGAGCTCTCACGAAGGGTTAAAAAGCAACCGTTTTGTCTCTGAATAACCTCCGATTTGACTTAGTGATCCAAGACATGGGAACGTTATAGTTCCACCAGAGGAGTTGTGTTGGTATTTTGGTTTCTTAATAGCGTATGTTAGACCATTGGGCCAAATCGGAGGTTGTTCAGAAACGGTTGCCTTTTAACCCTTTGTGTAAGCCCGCAGACATTACACTTTTGCTGAACTCACCACAAACATGCAATCTTTGCTGCTGAACCACCAACAGGGTCATGTTGGTCATCTTCGAGTTCTTTTTCAATCATTCTTTTACCATTTTTGAAACGTACCATTCACCATGTTTGGAGTTTCTTTTGATAAATGTCCACGTTTTGTATGCATCCCTTCTTTGGCCAAGCGTCAATCCCAGATTTGTGCACCCAGAGCTGTGCGATCCTGAGCTCAATCCCAGATCTGTGCGAATATAAGCGCCAATCCCAGATCTGTTGTGCGAACCTGAGCGCCAATTCTAGATCTGTGCGATTCTGAGATGCAATCACAGACATGTGCAAATCTGAGCGCATATCCCAGTTCTGTTCAAATTTGAGCGCCAATCCTAGATCTGTGCAAATCTGAGCGCCAATCCCGTATCTGTGCAAAACTGAGCACGAAATCCCGATACCCACGGATTTGGCCTCCAAAACCGCCTCCGCCGAACACTCTAGGCGAGATCTCATGCTGGTTGGAACCCCAAGTCTATCTGAACCAATTAGTTTGTCAAACTAAAGATGTTTGCTGATTCTGTTTGCAGTTTTGTTTCTTTGCTCAACCCTCACAGCCATCTTCTACATGAGTCGAAGCATTAACGGATCTTGTCTTGGTACGATTTCAGACCCTGAAATTGACGTACAAAGACAAGATCCGGTAATGCTCCGGCTTATTGTTTCAGTTATGTTATTTTTTTCACATGCTGATAAGTTTTAACTTTATACTCACACCTCACCTTAGCAACTTGACTGTGCTCTAACCGTCCCTGGTTGCAGAGCAAGGTTGCAAAGCCAGCAACACTTCAACGGAAGCTTGAAGAAATAAGCAGCCATGCCGAACAACACGGAGACACCATGCGGTTCAAACAACAGACCTGGTACTGGTTTGATTCTTCGTTACATGATAGCTAGCAGCAATCTCTTCTTAACTTCGTTATTCTTGTATTTGAGCTCACATCGGGAATTCTGGGGGACCCGCTTTCGGTTGGGAAACCACTAGCTGGCGAGTGGTTTTCGGCTCCAGGCATTTGCCTGGTTTTGGCGATTGGTTTTCTATGCTAGTGGCATCTAGCCCCCGATTGGTTTTCAGTTGGCCGAAAGACTGGTTGCCGAACCTGCAGAAATGCTACGGAAAATCTGCGCGAGTGTGTTACGAACATTTGCGTCAATTTGATTGGTCGCGGGCTTCTTTCTCGATTTGATGTCACGTCAGCTAAATTTTCGATTCTCGCTGACTCGCAAACATCAAAAGGGTGACCAAAGCCAATTAAATAGAATGAGATAAAACTCGTTCGAGTTTCGCGTGAATTGTTCGTATAACGGAAGTGCCCCTACGATGCTAGTATTGATAATGTCTGGAAAGTCGCGTGTATTCATTTCTAATAGTTCTAATTCGATATGGGCTAATACGACTATGACGGCCGTATGTGCGTGCAACGAAATTAATCACGATTTCGATATAGCGGATACGATATAACTACAAAACCTTATAGCGAATCATGTGTTCAAAAAGAGAATAGGCAAGTACTATTTAATTTTATACAGTATTAGGATGCCTACACTCCAATAAAAACGATAAATCTAGAACATCTCCTTCTGCACCTCATTCTCGTTGTAGACCCTGCGATAAGAGGCCCGGGAGGTGACCTCTTCAAGGGTCAAATCACCCAGCTCATCCGCTTCCAGCTCGGCTTCAGGGATCTCCCGCCATCTTACAATGCAGATCTTCCCAATGCCAACACAGTCCCCGTCACGAATAACCTCAGTCTCATTGATCCAACGCTGCACCACCCGTGCCTGCCTTGAAAAAGCTGCCGGGTCCCCTGACCGCTTAAACTGGGCTTTGCTGTGCGGATAACGAAGCTTGAATCGCACCTGAAACATGCATACATTAGAACATTGGTTAGACCAAGCAGTGCAACCACTAATTAAAAAACCGAGTACGTAACTTACCGCTGCAAGGATAACAAGCAGCTGATCCGAAAACAAGGGAATGGGAAACGTTCCGTCAAATTCGGGGTCCCACAGGGTTGCGCACTTGATAAACGCCGGGCTGGAGAAAGGCGTTCCCTCCCACAAATGCCACCAGATCCCCATCAGCACTGCAAAAAAAAAGGACTTGATTAGAGCTATTGCGTATCAAGTAACTAACGGTATTATTGTGCAATTCGTCACAGACTTACTGTCGGAGTTGTTTTTCACGTAGTTCGCGCACAGCTTTTCGAAGTCATCAAGCTCAGCGAAGGTGAGCTCGCCCTTCGCGGTGCGCTTCTCTCGCATGAAGATGCACGGCTCCCTGCTCAAAGCGTAACAGCGGCAGAATCGGTATATCTTACCAATACGGTCGTTAAACCGCTCGCTCGCATCCTTGAGCTTGCCCTGGGACTTGGCAAACACAGCCACTTGCAGTCCTTCGGCCAGCCAGCCTTCGCTGCACACGAAGTAAGATTGGTTGAAGGATTGGTTTAGTGAAAGTAGCAGAAGTTAGAACAAGAAAATAAGTAGAATAGAGTCAACACTTACCAATTAAAGCATTGAGCATGGCTTCAACGTCAGGGTTTAGGTTGAGCGTCACCCTCTTGAACAGAAAGTCGTCGCACGCTTCCTTGATGTATTTCTGAAGGGAAACGTAAAACCAGTCAGGAAAGATGTCACACATCAATTGAAGGTGAGCAAAGAGATCGTTACCTTCCAGTCGAGAGCAGACTGGTCCACTTGCTGGACCTTCTTAGCAAGGTGCGTTAAGAGGACGAGAGCGCTTTTCAGGTCGTCGGCGAGGCGTCCGTTCTCCTTCTGATAAACACCAGCAATCGCTTTCGCCTTCTCCTTCTCAGATCGCAGCTCCTCGTTCACATCTGGTTCGGCGCGCGCTTCCTCATCGAACCTGGCGGCTTCAGTTGCATACGGACGACCTTGCGCCCTCGACATTATCAATTCCATCGGGGAGCAATTAGCGTTCCCTGTTGATAGGGTGAGCATAAAAAAAAAACAAATTTGAAACATGTAAATCAATCAGTTACACCTAAGCAGGCATGGCGCAAAATCAACGAAGGAGTAGTAGCACAAAGCTGATACGAAGTATAACAGCATATCAGAAAACAGAGGTACCTTGCACAGGAGCAGGGTTCTCGGCTGGGACAACGGCATTGGAAGCACCAGCAGCAGCAGGGTGACCACCGTCGGCTTCCCCAGAAGGTCCTTCATCACTTGCAGCAGCACCAGAGGGACCATCGGCAGTAGCGCCGGCAGCGGGAGAACCGGCAGCAGGAGCAGCACCAGCAGCAGGGTGACCACCGTCAGCTGCAGCACCAGGGAGACCACTGACAGCAGCAGCAGCAGCAGCGGGGTCAGGCGCAGATGCAGGGGAACCACCGGCGACATCGTGACGCTCACCACGCGCGGAACCGCCACCAGGCAGACGAGAGCAGCCTGTCTTCGACTTCACACCTGCTGCCGGTGCAGCCACGGTATTCCCAGCGGCTTCACCGCCTTTGATGTCATCGAGGCTCCGCCTCGGATGCTTTTGCCGAGGCCCGGTACGATGGCTGGTCGGCACTTGGATGTCGCCCGCGTCCTCGTCGCTTGATTCTGCGACAAAACAAGAAAGGAAGTTAGATGTGGGATATGAGTCGAAGTATTAAAAACCGTGAAGTTACCTGCGGTAGCATTCGTTCCCAGAACCTTGTGATTATCCTTGCTCTTCCGAGGCAGTGTCTTTCTAGTCTGCAGAGAACGCAAAGATTCCGGGACATGATCCCGAGCATTACCGCGGGCCATGACGGCTCAGTCTAAGAGTATATATAAAAAAAAAAACACAACGCTCGGCGTATAGCTGGCTAGATGTCATGCTACCTATTAAATACATGCAGAGTTGTGACTGAAAAGCGGGATGAAACGAGAGCGAAAGAAGTACTAATGAAAGAGCGGTGTCGCGGTTTTACGAATCGCACCATGATTGGCTTGGCCCGAGTACTTTACCAAGCCTGAGACCAACGGCGCCTCGCATGAAGGCTCGGAATGGGTCGCTCGACAAGAGTGTGAGAACGTGGGATAGACAAAGTTGAAGTGGATTTGAAATTCAGAAATTTGAATTCTGAAAGCGGAGACACGGCGACAGAGCAGGTAACACATTCGTGATCCAACGACGAAGGGAAACGGGGGTGTTGAAGGGGATGGTGTGTGGGGTTTCAGAGGATGTGCGTAGCAGCGAGTGGGTTGAAGTGCGGTTGGCTTCAGGTGCGCTGTCACCTTGTTGTGTTGGCGGTCCACATGCACCGAACAGTCGATTTGTCTCGTTCAGCCTCGAGGTTTCGTAGTAAGAGGCGAAAGTTTCCTGGAGTGGCAGTCATGAGGTGGCACACATGAGGCGAGTGACTTTGATTGGCTAAAACACACAATGTTGTAACAAGTTGCCTTTGAGGGTGGCGGGCAACTGTCAATGCGGCACCACGCAGCCACTCAATGCACTGGAGCATAGCGTTGCTGTACTTGTGCAGCCACTCGTTGAACGCGGGTTCTTTAGCTTTGCTGCCCAAGTGCAGCCATTGAATCAGATGAAGACAGATTTTGCTGCTGGTCCCTTGGGTTTGATGAATGTGTGTTGTTGTACAGAACTCAACAAGGAGCACACTGTTCAGACAACCAATCGCAAGCCTAAACACTTAGCTACCCATGTTGCTACCTAGGTAGTTGCGAAATTGAAGTTGCTACCCAGTACATTTTTAGTGCGGGATGTGTTGGTTTGTCGGTGCGGGAAGTTACGAAATATGGAGTGACAAGGCGGCTATGCAGCCCTTGAATTCGGAACTTGCAATGTAGGCAAAAAAATCTGAAACATGCGACTCAAAGCTGACGTGTAGAAGCAGATTTGCAGCCGCAAAAAACAAAACGACAGTACACGACAGACAAGACGAGAATTGACAGTGGCCCAGTTGAGACCATGAATAGAATGCACACCCACGCGAAAAGTTGAATCACAGGCGCGCAATTTTGAAATGAACGAGGCTGAATGAGATTGCTTACGTTTGACAACGGTTTATTTTCTACAATCTGTGGTTGTAATTGGTTTAGAAATATTCACAAATATGTATCCACACGAAATAATCGATGAAATCCTGCATCGAGACAATTCCAACTTCGTTAGTCGCTGTTACTGGGAAATAGACCAAAAAGATATGTGGAAATTTACATAAATGCATCTAATGATCCTTTTGAAGTTATTGGAGATTTCTTTGAAACAGCCTGGCAATAGTAATAACAGTGGAATTCTGCTGCAAGGTGTTACTGATATGTACACACATTTACAAAACATTTCATGTAGATGCGTATTCTACCATCTAAAGTGGTTGAGCAAAAATGTAGCCCGAGGATGTGCCGGCTCAATGGTTTTGGGGACAACGTGGCGCACGCGCAAAATGCTTTCAACGGGCAACACTCCATACCCGCGCCGGCCTGGTCACCAGTTCAATGTCTTCATGTCCATCGTCTGTGACTGTGGGAGGGATCCGTAATAACGACAGAATGCAAGCTGCTCTGAGAACTGCTCCTCCCTATCTTCCTCGTCCCCGACGCCAGGAGTACACATAGTCCATCGCAATGTGAAAATAAGAAAAAGCTTCGCATGCCATACAAACTTCTTCTTGTTGTCATCCTCCCCCTCAATATCCACATCCGAAAACCAAGGTGCGCCATGGAATGCTGGCGTCGCTCGTGCGTACTGTGGATACCTGCTGTACCTGGTGAAGTCGTCGTCGGGCGGTACCGCAACACCGGCATGCACCTGTATCATCCTCGCATATTCTACCTCATCGTCGCCGTGCAGCTCTTTGAGGTATGACACAATACTTTCCTCCAGAAGGTCAAACTCGCCTGGGACGCTCATCACGTATGCCAGGTAGTTCTTGTTTCGCTCGTCGCCCAATAGAAACCTCATTGTCGTTCCTGTGACAGTAGAAATTCCCGTCTCCATCGCCTGTAATCGTTATTTAAATGAGAGTTTAGGCACAGATTGAACGGCGCATATCATATTTGGGAGCAGATACACAACGACAACATTAGAATAAACATAAGAAAACATCGTAGCCGTATGGTGGAACATCGACATTACAAGTGCAGGCGTTCATTGAACCATAGCTCACCTGCTGAAGGGCGGCTGAGCGTTCTTGAGCATCAGGAACCTCATCTTTGGCGCTCATCCACTCCACCAGCTCTGATACAAGGCAACGCCGTGTGATCGATGCTTCGGCGTTCCTCTTGTTCGAAGCTCGGTATGGTCTCTTCATCAATGCCACGTGCACGTGCTCGTAGACATCGGTGCAGTAGTGAATCGGAACGCCCCGCTGCCTGATGTCGTCAGTGACGTGCAGCATCGCGTGAATCTTGGGCACGTTGAAATTCGATGCTTGATCGTCCACTGTGAACTCGTCCATCAGCATCGGTACAAGCCTGCAAATAACGCAAAGAGAAGGTACAAAGAAGATGTTGAGTGTCGATTGCAAATGAGTTGATGGAAACAAATCTAGCAAACAAAGCAAGCATGCAACTGGATGCGGATGCTGGTGGAACAACTCACGTTTTCGCCATCTCGTCAAGGTTCGCCAGGGAGGCGTCGGTGTGGTACGTGCGATGCCATGCCTCCCTGTGCCACGTGCAGTACAGCTCCACTGCTCGAATTGTCCTCTCTTCCACTTTCGCCATCACTAGAAGCGCTGGCAGCACCTGCATCACTGCCTGGTGATGAAACGCCTTGAAGGTGTTATGGCCGCTGAAGTAGCCAGCAGTGTGTGCCGGAATTCGAAAGAACGACTGCCTGCTGTACTGTGTGATCCGCTCTAGAGAAGCGTCGAGCTCCCGAAGGGTGGCCTCACTGAGCTTCGACTTCAGTCCCTCCAGGATGTGCTTGTATACGCCGAGGAGAGACATGTGCATGATGTCAGACGTGAGTTGTCGATACGGATTGCCGAAATCCTTATCGCCAAAGCGTTGTCCCCATAGGGCACTCTGCGAAACAAACACATACACACACACATGCTCACACACACACATGCTCACACAAACACGCACGCACATGCATACGCACGCATACACGTACACACACTTGCACACACACACACATGCTCACACCAACACGCACGCACATGCGTACATACGCATACACGTACACACACTTGCACGCACACACACACGCAAGCGCGCGCACACTCACACACGCACGCACGCATGCACGCACGCACGCACGCACGCACGCGCACACACACACACACATACACGCCCACACACACACGCAAACATACACATACTCTCACACACACATACACACATGTACACACCCACAACGACAAACACACACATCCGTTAGGATCCTGAGTTGATGAAACATATACGAGTACCATGTAACAAGGTCGATTGTTGCATCCAAATAAAAGTAGCACGTACCTTAACGAAGTGTGTACTGTAGAGCTTTGTTAAGTCGTTGCGTGCCGTACCCCTTGTCTCGCGTTCCATCTCCAAAACACGCTCCTTCTGTAATGCCTCCGTTCGATACACCAGCGGGTACGCCATGTTATTCAACTCCCCCTTCGGAACGGAGCATCTAGGGCACGGAAAACGAGTCTTGATGCCGGACTTGGTGCCTGCGACTTTGCACTGCTCCGGATAGTCGCCAATGTAGGCGTACGTGATCGGAAAGACTGTATGGCGAATCCCGTATGGGTCCGTCAACTCCACGCCGCTGCATGCATGACAAGACGGATTTGGCCAACGCTTGTCATTCCTCTAAAACAAGAAACAACTGAGGATCAAACAATCAAGAGGCGAACATTTAAGGACTTACGAGTTCTGGGCGATCTTCAAGTCCGCCATGATGAGATCCAACGCTGCTTGAAACACTTCAAGCCGCCGCCGTTCTTTGTCCGCGTGCGTGAAGAAACTCCCGTCATCATCGGGTAGGAGAGCACAGAGTCGATGGCTGTGAGGTCTCCACCGATTTCCCGGTGCAATGTTCGCTAGTGAGATGTACACCGGCCAACCCTTTAGTCAGCCATCAGTCGTCAGGGTCGTTTCGTCCGAATATATGATCACCGCGGCGACGGCCTTGCCTGGATCAGTAGTTGGCAGCTCGCGCAGAACCTCCCGCCACCAATTCCCCGTCTCAGGACCCTTGTAGATTCGTTTCGCAGGGTTGATGTTTTTGGGAGGGCGCACAACGAAACCTTGCGCGTTCGCCACGTTCTCGTACAAGCTTGTGACGCACGTGAGAGCCGAACGCCGCCATAAGATCACGGGCTTCAAATCACCCGCCTTGGAGAGGTCCACCTGCTCAAACGGTTCAAGGTTGGCCCCGGCCATTTGCTCCTCTTCGTACTTGTCGAAGTCTGCGAGCGACTTGAGCGTTAGTCGTCCAGGGTTGGCAACAATTTCAACAAGAATAGATATCAACTCTGTGATATCCACCCGCGACAGCCCAGACCCTCCAGCAGCCGTGCGAATGAAGCGGTAGGCGCGAGCATCGATATCAACGGATGTTGCATCGCACTCAGGAGCAAACGCATAGCCCGTAGGGTCTTCGTTCAACTCTGCCGCGTCGGGTTGCACATCAAGTCGGCTCGGCCCTGGCTAAGTTTCTGAACGGGTGCGCTTGGTGGATCGTGAAAGAAGACGGTTTGCAGCTGCTCGCATCCGTTCTACAGCTCCTTCTTGGCTATCATCACCGCGTAACCCCGTGGACGATGCCTCTTCCACGCTAGACTTGTGCTGTCCTCTCTTCATATGCCGTGCTTTCTCATGTGCAAGTCTGAACTTGGCTACACATTGCAGGTAGAGGTCGCACTTGAACGGCCTGCTATCATCCTCCATACTGTACAGAATGGTATCTCCCTTTGCTCACAAATACTGTATTACAACAAATGTATACAGATCATGAATCTCCAAGCTGCTGCTGAGGATGGATTATCTACAGTCCCTTTACGTAGCTTCTGCCCGTGCAATGCAGTACCCCAGAATTGTTGTGCACACCTGCAGGCACACAAAAACGACAATGAATTCATGGTAAAAATGTCCAACACACCAACCAAAGAGTGGTAGCAGAGAATAAGAACAAACTAGCTGAAAACAATAACACATTCCAGTATAATAAATGCTCACGTGGCGCCTGGCGCCATTTAGCA